ATGGTGGGGTATGGAGGTGTGGGGTGTGGAGTGCCAAGTCAAGGGGGAAAAAAAATGTGTGTGTGTGTGTGTGTATGTATTGGGCTGGAAACAGTTTTTTGGTCAACTCAGTTACTTGAAATTGCATCATTTCCTGAAAGTCCTAATTTAGCTTCTGGTTGCATCCTGCTTGGTTATGGCCTAAAAAGGCAACTGGTTTGGTTTCTTGGAGCTGGAATTCTCTGCAGGAAGCAGAGAAGGGGCAGCAGAGCAGAGCCCTGGCCTTGGCTAGCCAGCCCCAATCCAGTGTCAGACAATGGACATTTTTCCTTCCCCTGCTGTCCTTGTATGGCTGTCGCTGCTCTGTAGCGAAACATATGCAGGCGTTGTTTTCTGATCTTGAATCAGGAAGGACTTGCCCATTTGGAAAGATGATATGGGGGGGCCTGCTCCGTGCTGCTTGGAGATGTTCACTCCTCCCCTACATTGGTCCTGGCATAGAAGAGGACATGGTGTGAAGGCAGAGCCAGGAGCCAGCTCAGCATTTAGAAAATTAGCCTCTCCAGGAGCCTCTTTATATTGACCCTTTTAAGTTTTTAAAAAAGCCCTTTACAATGACTGATTTATCCATTGACATCTTTGAGGGTAGGTAGCCTTGTATTGGTTTCCTCATTTGAATTAGTGGATCATTGCCCAGGGCCCCAGTGAGGCAACAGCAGTCATGGGGGTATGACCCTCCATAGGCCTGGGGCATGTGGCCAGTGACTTTGTTATCTGTGAATTTGAGAGGTTCATAACTAGCTGAGCCAGCCCTACATAGAAGCCCCATTATTACTTGGAAAGCCACCGTCCCAGACCCAGGCCCAGTGTATTGATCTTGGCACCATTTGGGAACCACGTCATGCCGGGGAAGTTATTTGTTGCTATGTCCTTGGCCTGGCAAAGTCCTACTAGACTGTTGTTTAATTAAAAGTTCTGATTGTGGCAAGCAAGCAGAGAGGCTCTGTGAATGTCCCATGTTTTGCTAACATTCCTTTTGCCCCTTCCCGCTAACAGGAAGGGAGTTCTTTTTTTGCTGTAGGAGCTGCTGTTGAGGCTGGGGCCCTGGGCACTGGGGGAGGCAGGGGAGGATGGGCTGTGTTCCCTTCCTCGTCTTACAGGATGTGTAAGTTTCAGGCTCTAGGCCTCTGTTAGATTATCAAGAGTGAACAGTGTGCAGGTATTAGGCCCGTGGCTTCTCCAAGGCCCAGAGGAGGGTTCTCAGTTGGGGTGCCAGGGGCGGGAAGCACCGCAGAATCCTTCCCCTTTCCCCACTGTTTATAGCTGACTTAGGATGTTTATGGTTTTCCAGGTGCAAAGCAACTGGACGAAAGACCAGAATAATTTACTCTATTTTCTAGACTAGGGAGAGACGCAGAAGCCCCTAGTAAGTAGCATGTGATGTGATGGAGAAAGGAGCATGGCTGGACGGGTCATTTTTTCATCTATGTCGTAGTCTCATGTACTTGAAGAAAGCTGGTGTTGGTGTTACTGGAACGTAACCTCTTTTGGAGAGACAACTGTTCCTTTTGGTATTGGCTACTGACTGTACATAGCAACCAGTAGGGGAGAGACGGTCCATACCCAGGCTCCCTTCATCTCAACCTATTAATCACAGCCTGCCTGCCTTCAAGGGCTGCTCCAAGAGTGCCCTGTTGGTCTCAGCTAGCAGTTTTTCTCTCAGATCTGTCGGAGGCTTTGTGCACTCATGACATCTAACAGGTTTCACCAGGCACCTAGCACACAGTGCCATCCACATTGTAAGGGCTTGATAGAAATATCTGATTCCACGGATCATGGCAGCTGGTTTCCTCCCCCAGACGCTGATGTGGCCAGTGACCAAGCAAACATTTGCTTATGTGCTGTACGTATTCTGCAGAAATAGACTTTCTGACCTTCCTCCCTTAGTGGACAGAGAGCTGAAAAGTCCTGCTCACCCACACTGTCTCCAGCAGCAGTCCACAAGGATCTGTTAAACACCTGCTTGTGTGAGGCCTTGGCAGTGTCTGAGAGACTGGGGCTTCCTTTTATCAGAAACTCATTTTGTGAGCCCAGATACCTGACTGTTGATTCCTTCCCTGCGCCCCCCGCATTAGACTTTTCTTCTTCCTAAGTTGTGGACCTTTGTGCCATTCAGATCTGGAAGTCTGAAGCAGCACTTGGGCTTTAGATCTGGCCTCTCTACTCTTGGAATTGGTGTGGGTGGAGGTAGTGTACTTCCCTCATCCTGCTTTCAGTACATTAGATGTTTTTCAGTGTTACTGAATTCTGCCATGAGGTAGGTCAGATGAGCTCAGAGCACTAGGGGCACCTGGGGCAAATTCATTTGAACCCGGGAAGGGGTTGGTGGTGATCTGGGGTATCACTGCTCCTGTGTGGCTGAGGGAGTCATTGGCTTGATCACTGCTGTAGGGCCCTTCAGAGGTCACATGGTCCTACCTCATCCCTTTTACTGATGAGAAAACTAGGTACCCAGGCAAGTTAAGTAAGCCATCTGCCTAAGGGCATCCAGGTGGAGCCTCCTAGGGTTCACCATGCTTTTCTCACTGGACCATGATGCCTTCTTAGTATGGAGACACAGGTTATGGGAAGGTGAGGCTGATTGACTGGGAGGCTAGGGTGTTCAAAGAGGGGGGCTAAGGTTGGAGTTAGGGTGGAGAAGACAACACTAAGCCAGCTGCTAAATTTGTTGGAGACAAATTAGGGAACAAGGGATGTGACATCTCCTCTAGGTCTGTGATTGTCAGGGGGCATGGGAGAGTGGTGCCGGCCTTAGAGAATGTGCCAAGAGATATGTCTACAGGAAAATAGGCTTTGCCAAACCTCCAGAAAGAAACAAAGAATAGGAACAGATCACGGCGTTAGAGCTGGGAGGGGCTCATTTTACCAATGAGGAAACTGAGGCCTAGAGAAATGAAGTGACCTGCCCTAGCTCACACAGGTGGTAGAGCCAACATTCTGACTTTTTTGCCCTGCGTCACAACTGAGAGTCCCAACGGCATGTTGGAAGTGGAGGGCAGAAGAAGATGAAAGACCAACGATGTCATAGACTTAGTATCATATATTGTTTAATAAAAATGATAGCTAATATTTATGTAGCACTTACTGCATACCAGGGCCCGAGCTAAGTATTTTTCAGCATTATCTCTTTTGATCCTCACAATAATCCTTGGTTGTAGGTGCTTTTATTAATCCCCATTTTACAGTTGAAGAAACTGAGGGAGACAGGCTTGCCACGGGTCACACAGCCAGTAATTGTCTGGGTCTGGATTTGCACTCAGGTCCTGCAGATTCCAAGCCCAGTGCTCTATCCACTGTACCCCCACCTGCTTCCACATTAGAGCTCCTCAAGAGGATCCTGGCCAGTCCTTTGGACAGGAGGACGCTGCCTTAGGTCTCACCTGTGCTTTTAGGGTCAGAGAGGAGAATTCACATCTCTTCGCTCTGCAGTTGGTAGTCAGACTGTTCATCTTGGGTAGATCTTTGTAGATATCCGAAGGGATTGGAAAGCACCCAACCTCATTCTGGTGTGTGTGTGTGTGGGCACACATACAACTGTCTAGCCCATGGACTGGCCCATGCTTTCTCTGCATACTCAGGTGGCCTCAATGACATGTCTGTTAAGCTCTTCAGCAAGCACCACTGGCATAAAATGGTGTTGTCTCTACATTTACCCACTGCCCAACTCACTGGACCAAGGCCTGCTTCTTTGAGGCATAGGCTTGTGCAGAACTTCGTGACTGATTTTGAATCTGGGAGTGAATGAAATGATATCTTTGTTTTCTTGCCAGGCAAAGGAGGCTCAGTGTATGACTGCAACCTCATTTAGCCCAAATAAGGGATTCCAACATTTAAAGTTGGCTGGTTAATTAGAACCAGCCCTCTTGCTTCCCCTCCTTTCTGGTTCAAAAAATATCCCAAAATGTTTCGTCCCCATCTGAGATCTATGGTCTTAGTCCCTTACCTAGCGATATTTTAAATAACAAGCACTTCAGAAACCTGAAAGTGAGATATAATTGTGAGCTGTTGTTCTGATGAGCACGTTTAAACTTAGGCTGGCTGTGTGAGGATGACTCTCAGGGACCAGGCTGGCCTCTTCTGGGGTAAGATGTGCTCATGAATCCCAGTTTGCTTCTTTGGGCTTCAGAACCACAAGACAAGGCCTCTGTGGGCACCGTGATGTGGCCTGGCAGAACACTGCAGGAGCCAGGATGGGCCTCATCCGACTTATACAAAAATCGGAGAGATTGCTTTCACTTTTCAGTCCATGCCTCTCAATTTCCATTCAGAAGGAGCCTCTGTCTTCAGAGCTGGATGTTACGTGTGAGTGGCTGTTGTTGCGTTTTTGTTTTGCCTTTTTTTTGGCCTCAGCATGTTCAGCATCATTTATATTTCTCTGACTAAGCATCCTTCTGAAAATGGATTTTTTCATCCTTCAGTCTGCTTTCATCTTTCTGCAAGTGTATCCTTATTGTTCTGAATTATATAGAAGATCTGCTGTGATCAGAGCCTGACCAAGAGCTAGACTTTGCTTTCTAAGCTAAATAACTCCAGTAGCTTGAGTAGCTTGTATTTCTTTCCTCTAAAGGCAGAGTGCAGAAAGATTCTGGTTAACTGAGAGTTTGCTGCACCATGATGTGATTTTGGCAGGAAGGGGCATGGCATGGTGGAAAGAGCCTTGGTATTGGCCTAGATCCAGGCCTTGAGGGGACCCCGTGGCCACTGAGTTCTCTGGGCTGATGCTCACTGTACCTGTCTCCCAGTGTGGTCACAAGGACAGTGGTGTGTGTGTGTGTGTGTGTGTGTGTGTGTGTGTGTGGGTGGGTGTGTGCGCGTGTGCTCTGTCAAGTGCCGTAGAAATGTGGATGGTCCTACCAAGGTGGAGGTGAGCCTGTGTTAGTGACTAGAGCTCAGATGAATGCAGCAGCATCTGATGTCTTCCTTTCCTCCTTCTGTTTGGCAGGTCCTAGCTAGCAATCAGGATGGCTCAGCAAGCTGCTGATAAGTACCTCTATGTGGACAAGAACTTCATCAACAACCCACTGGCTCAGGCCGACTGGGCCGCCAAGAAGCTGGTCTGGGTCCCCTCCGAGAAGAATGGCTTTGAGCCTGCGAGTCTCAAAGAGGAGGTGGGTGACGAGGCCATCGTGGAGCTGATTGAGAATGGCAAGAAGGTCAGAGTGAATAAGGATGACATCCAGAAGATGAACCCCCCCCAAGTTCTCCAAGGTGGAGGACATGGCGGAGCTCACCTGCCTCAATGAGGCATCGGTGCTTCACAACTTGAAGGAGAGGTACTACTCGGGGCTCATCTATGTAAGTACTTGTGCTGAAACCGTTGATTTAATTGTGGGAATGTGGGCCCCCCAGCCTGAGCCCGCACCCCACAGGCCTTCGAGGAATGGGGAGGGATGCTTGGTCTTTGGCACTGGAACTTTGGAATGTTTTGAACGGTATCCTTTTGCAGGAAACAGGAAGCACCTTCCAAAGCAAACACACTAATAAGAAGGTGACAGTTATCAGGTCTTCCCATCCAACAACTGGGTTTCTTTTCTCTCACTTCTGGGACAGGTGAGACCGCTGCCTGGGCCACTAGACTGGCAGGTCTGTCCCCAGACAGGTGATGCTGGACTTGTCCTGGTGTTCTGCCTCTCCTCCCCTCAGTCCTTCTCGCTGTGGTCCTGCAGGCTAATTTCTCCTGAGCATCATCGTTTGGGTAGACAGCTCTGTCCAAGTGACTCAGATGTCAAAGGAGCAGAATAACTTTGGATTATAGGCTTTGGAACTGAAGGGACTGTAGCTACTCTGTTTCCACTCTTTCATTTTTCAGATGAAGAAACCGAGTCTCAGAAAAGGGAAGTGATTGGTCTATTGGTTATGGCTAGGGTTGGATTTAATTTGTCTCAGAAAAAAAGTGCTCTTAAAATTTTTTTAAAACAAAAATAAATTAAAAATTAAAAAAAATAAGAAAAAAGAGCACTTTGAAGAAATGGGAATGTCACATTGCCCTTGGAAGTATGATTTATCTAGGCTTTTAGGACTCTTGTCACTGGGACAATCTTCTCAATGGAGCATCTACATCTTATTCGCCTTAGATAATTCTGATCCATAGTCTTCAGATTTTGGAGCTGGAGAGAAAGGGAAAAGGAAAGGAAAAGGTATCCTCTACTCTAACACCTTAAATTTCTTTATAAGTAATGCAGTGAGTGAATGCCTTTTTGTTTATGTCACGGCCCTTTCTGGAAATCCCTACCTTCTCCTGTAACAAACAATGACATCCAGACGTGGGGGCCAAGCCTCCTGGGCCTTTTCCTATTGAGCCAGTCAGAGTGAGAGAAGGGAAGTGATGAGATCTGGGACTTGCCCAAGCCTCCCAAGGGGCTTCTGGTCAAACTGAAGTGAGAAGAAGTAGGACGTCGAGGAGTCCCAAGATGGCATCTGCATTCTGGTCCCAGCTCTGCTACCTAGAGTGGCGTGGCCTTCAGTTGAGCCTCACCGGCCTATACCTTTCTCGTCCACAGTGTAGGGGATACCACTGGTAAATCTGAGGAATTGCAGAGTGGCTGTAGAAATAGAAGGTGGCTTCTCCTGACTCGGAGAGGTCTGAAATGGACTTAGGCTGCTGAGGGACAAGTTGTTTAGATGTGGCCAACATGGGATTTGTTTTGCAATTTTGTTACAGTGTCCTTCCTCCCTGCCCCAAATCAACTGGACGGTGTGGGAGGGAAAATAAAATAGATTTTTGTAATTGAAAAGATAAAGTTTAAAAAGAAATAGAAGTTGGTATTTATGATTAGAACCCAGGTCTTCTTCCTACCAGTCTGGTCTTTTTTTCTATTTTTCTCAGTTCTCTGACCCTTTCTTCAGAAGGCCTGAGTGTGTCCCAAACATTTTGGAGTTTTTGTTGGGCCAATACTAAATGCTTCTCAGGGTCTTAATAGAATAGAGTTCGGATCACTGGATTTTAGTCCCAGCTCCGCCCCTAAGGAGTCAGGCCACACAGGGACCTCTCTAGGACTTTGTTTTCTTTTTGTCAGGGGAGGGGGTATACCAGGTCATCTCCAAGGTCCCATGCAAATAGTTTTGTGATTCCCTATTATGTTTTAGTTGTGGAATGGAAATCCTAGGTAGTCCCTTAACAAGTGCTGGGAATTTGACTCCTTTCCCCCTGTGGCATCTTTTCATTGTTGCACCCCTGATTTTTCCACTCCACTGACTTGGTTTTCTGCATCTTATATCTGCTCACTGTTTGGGGCACATTCATGCAGTGTAATAGCATGCAGTCTTGTCCAGTTATCTGTTTTCTCTTCACTCCCCCCATCCCCCACCCCATACCTCTGCCAGCAGATCTCACCTAACAAGCAGAATACAAACAAGCCTAGACTTTCTCTCACTCCCGCAGTGAACTACCCTTCTGGATCCCCTGATCATTTTCTTAGACTTACAAGAGCCGGCTGTGGGTAACTCTTTCAGGATTTGAGCTTGTCTCTTCTCAGCCTGTCCTGGCTCTGCCTAGCCACTGGCTGAGGTCACAGCAGCTAGCATATTGTAGGCTACTTTGTTCAGTTGAATCTGGCTAACGGTGCTGCTCCTTCCCCTGTCTGGTTTGCTCTGGCTCAGTCTTCCTTCTGTGCTTCCACTGGGGCTGCTGTGGTGCTGGGCACATCCCCCACAATGCCTCTGGATTTCCAGCAGGACCCCCTTGTACTCTGCTCCAGGTAGTTTTCAGTTTCTATGGAATAGCATCCCAACAGTGAAAACAATCCAGATGGGAAAAGACTGCTTCATCTGGCAGAGCCCCTGTGTCTTTAAGGGGGTTAAAGGCTTTGAAGCCAAAACAAAAGCAAATGAGCCCTGTGAGGTGGGTGTTGTTATTATCCCCATTTTTACAGTTGAGGAAATTGAGGTAGCCAGAGGGGAAGTGACCCACCCAGGGTCACACCAGAAGCAGTCTCCATCTGTGGAGGTGGCTGCTCTCAGAGGCTGGACCACCGTTTGTGGAGAGGAGGTTTCTGTTCCCATGTGTGCAGTTCTGCAGGGGCTTTAGGTAGCTGTCTCAGTGCCCTTGTGCTCTCTCAAGCCTGACCCCTCGCTGTGAAAGACTGAATTCAGTGCTTGCACCTTTGGCAATGAATTACTCCTCAGTAATGAGCCTGAGCAGTTCTGTCTCTTTCAAATAGTAGAGCTGTGGGATGGTCGGGCCGGAATCTCCTTCAGTAGTAAGGAACTCTTCCTCTCGTGGCCTCCTGGAGCCACGACTGTGATGTATTCACAATGTGAGTGAACTGGAGAAAGTTTGAGCTTGAAGGGAGGCCCCTAGGTGGCGCCATAGTGCACAGAGCACCAGACCTGGAGTCAGGGAGGCTCATTTTTCTGAGTTCAAATCCAGCCTCAGACACTAGCTGTGTGACCCTGGGCAAGTGACTTCACCCTGTTGGCCTGAATTTCCTCATCTGTAAATGAGCCGCAGAAGGAAATGGCAAACCCCTCCAGTATCTTTGCTACGAAAACCCCAAATAGGGTCGTAAAGAGTCAGACATGAATGAAAACAACGGAACAGCAAAAAAGGGTCCCAAGGTACAACTAGGTGGTGCAGTGGAGAGAACGCTGGGCTCCCATTCAGGAAGACCTGAGTTCAGATCTGACCTTGAACACTTACTAGCTGTGTGACCCTGGGCAAGTCACTGACTCTACCCACAGGGCATCTCTGGTTAACCTCTTCCTCACCAAGAGGAGGAGGCCAAGTTAGTTGACCTAAGGTCCCCGCCACCCTGATTCCATGATTCTGTGGAGGAGACCGTAGGACCTGGGAGCAGTGCCTGGCTCCAGCCTCACAGGTGGGGTGCTTCCCTTGGATGGCTTCTTCTGGCTTTCAGCCTCCAGGATTTCTCTCAGGCCCTTGTCATGAAGGCTCTGGTTTGGTTTTTTGTGAGCCACAGGCGTCCAGACCTGGGTACCATCCCCTCTCCCTGCATTTATTTTGAAATAGAGACACCACATGAATTCCCTGGTTCGGGCTCCACCGTAGATGACCTTTGGCCTTTGGGGAGCATCCCCCAGCAGCGAAGCTTGTGTCAGACTGAAGCCTGCGCTCACTTCCCTCCTGGTCCATGGGCCTTGGTACCCAGTTAAGTTGTGCTGTAGCCTGAGGGCTGCCCTGGGAACAGGAACCAGCCAGGTCCATGTGGATGCACACAGCATTGCTGGGGAGTCACCCCAGGGTCACACAGTTACTAAGTATTGAGTCAGGAAGAGAACCCAGGTCTCCAGACTCCCCAACTGCAACATTCTTTCAACCAGTTCCAGAGTGTTACCTTGAGGAGGAGAACTGGGCTACCCCATGTTGATTGCACACCTAGGGGACGGTTCTTTGGATCTTACACGTGCACAGAGGCCGTGAGGGCCTCCTGCTCCCCCTGCATCCCTCTGAGAACAAGGCAGCATTGCTCTTGGAATCCCACAGCTGAGGCCCTCCAGGAAGTAGTGCCCCTCAGAGGCCCACACACCAGACACTGGTCTGCATTCAGAAGCCCAGCTGAGTTCAAAAAGGTGCAAGTGGGTCTGACCACTTCTTGGTAGAGGGGGAATGGATGCTGGGCCCTCCACTGCCCTTATTCCTGGGGATAATCAGCCATTTGTTTTCCCTCCAACTGCTCTCTTTGCAGGGGCTCAGGACTAACTGGGATGTTGCTGGTATCCAGTATTTCTCCATTAAGGGGAGGCCTGAGCGTGCTGGGGGACCCACCCCTCCTCAGAGTCCTTAGATTTAAGGTTTTCCTCAGTGGACGTGTAAAGCCAGGGATGTGTTCAGCAGGAGACTGGGGAGCAGTGAGCCACTGAGGCTGTGAAATGGTCACACTTTAATTTGGAGCCATAAGATCCTCCAGCCTCCAAGTGCTGACAGCCCATGGTCACCCGTTTGGAATGTGCTTCAGACAGATGTTCCAGGGACCCAACTTCTGGGGGTGAAGAGTGGGCAGAGAGTTCCTTTGGGTTCTAAGTTCCCTGTACTCCTTTCATTTAATTAAAGGGTTGGATCAAACCACGCCCAGCTGAAAGACTGTCCCTTAGGTGAGTCCCTTAGGTGTCCCTCTGTTCTCCCCTTCTGAGTGTGCAGGAGCCCTGGGCGGCCAGTGCCTTTACTCCTACATAGCCTCCCAGGGATCTGCTCCCATTCCCAGAGGCCCTTTGTGTCCTCGTGGCCAAATACCCAGCTTTCCCCTGAGAATGAGAGGCAATGAGGGGGAATTGAATCAGTCATACCTCTCACAATGCCGGGAAAGTACACTTAGTAAGAACTCCCCTGCTGCTCTAATAAGGGATCCGGGTTTTGTAAAATGATTGCTTATGGAAAAGGAGAAAGGACCGAGTGAATGGCACAGCCTCCCCCAGCCAAGGTTCAGTCATGCCCCCGGGTGCTCCCAGCCATCCAAACGGCACCCACAGTGGAGCTGTAGCGGTGTCTGATTCAAAGGTGAGATTGGGGAGGGGCCTGGCAGCAGAGGAACCAGGCGTGAGTGACAGTGGCCTGCAAACGGCGTCAAGGGAACTTTGGAACAGGAGTTGAGAGGCCTGCTTCTCTTGGTGGCTTGAGCCACGTGGTCAGAGGTTCAGGGCCAGCCTGCCTTTGTAGGCCTCGGTCTCCTCTTGAATAGACGGAAGCATTGGAGGGCCTTCCTAGTTCTCAAGAGTCCACTTTCTTCAGAGCACCGCATTTTAGAAAACAGGAGCATGGCTCAGTGCACTAAGTTAGCCTGGCCTGTGGGCTGGCACCCCCTGGTGCTGGGTCAGGAAACGCTTACAGAACATGCTTGGCATCATATGCATCCCAGGAAAAATCCTTCATCCTGGGCTCGTTCACAGACTGGCCCATTGTAGCTCAAACCCAGGTTCCTGTGAATGTGGGGATACGTTTTCAGATGAGAAGCCTAGGCCACCAGGTTTGTGTTCCTCACTTTACAGAAGGACTCTGAGGTAGCGGACAGAATTCTAGACTTGGAGTTGTGACAGCTTGGTTTGAATCCTGCCTCTGGTACTTAGTAGCTTTGTGACCATTGGCAAATCATTTAGCCTCTCAGAGCCTCAGCTTCCTCATCTGTAAAATGGGAGTGACGGCTTTTACTTCACAGGGATCACATGAGTTAACACATGTCAAGTGCTTTCCAGACCTTGAAGTGCTGTGTAAGCGTTGCTCTTTTGTTCTGAATTTGACCAGTTGCATTATTTTTGAAGCACGTATACGATGCACAGATGTGCATGCAATGATGGCGGCAGTCATGGAGATTGCAAAGGATTGTGACTCTGACATGAGGGATGACGCTGGTACCAGGCCGGTGCTGGCTTGCTCGGGCCAAAGAGCTGGGGGAGGGGTTAGATGCTGCATCTTTCTGCATTAGGCTAGTCTAGATGCAGCCCAGTCTTCTTGGGGAAATAGCAGCTCTCATAGGACGGGGACTAGACTTGGATCCAGAGACTTAGGTTCGAATCCCAGCCTGATCCCTCTTCCCCGTGGCCCTGCCCGTGTCCTGACTTTTACAGTGGGGCTCAGAATTGTTTTGCTCACAAAGTTGTTGTGAAGAAAGCTCTGTGTTAGTCTTGAAAGCACAAGACATCATGGTTTTCTGAAGTTTCGCTTGGACTCCTGCTTTGCTGTGAATAAGATGTGGTGAGGCCTGCAGACACTTGTCACTTAAGTGCTTTTCTTTTGTCCAGACCTATTCAGGACTGTTCTGTGTGGTCATCAACCCTTACAAGAACCTGCCCATCTACTCGGAAGAGATTGTGGAGATGTACAAAGGCAAAAAGCGGCACGAGATGCCCCCTCACATCTACGCCATCACAGACACGGCCTACAGGAGTATGATGCAAGGTGAGTGGCCCGGGAGGCTTCTGCAGGCCAGGCCGGGCCCTCTGGGTCTGCCTTGTCAGCCGCGGCCATTGGGTTTCAAGCCCCCTCGTCCTCCTCCTGTTATTTCTGTTCAGAACTGGGGTTAACCTTTCTGACTTTTAAATACCAGGAACCCTCCCCCCCCATAAACTCCTGATAGCTGAACAGTGTGTCATGGGAGGACCACAAACCCAAGTGCCAAGCTTATGTGCTGAAAAGTTCTCTGGGTGTTGTTTTCAGTGCCACTGACGGCACTTTAGCTTATGTGCTCCTTCGTGTAAGGACTTTCTAGAAAGCAAGATTCCAGATTTTTGCTATTGTAGCCTGAACCTTGCATGTCTTATAGTTCGGGTTTTTCATCATCGTGAAGGGATATTCTTTTCTTCTAAATTTAGCAGCGGGTGAAGGGGACAGTCTTTGATGATGAGTTAGAGTGTATGAAAGTGCATCAGGTGGCTCATTCTTCCCCCCACCGAGACACCAAAGTCCTGTGAGACCTAGTCCCTGCGCCTGGGAAGCTTCCTCTCACCATTTTATCCACATGCATTTCTTACTGACTGTTCCCGCTGTCTGGACTATCATTATGTCTCTGCTGGACTGGAAGGAAGGAAGATGAATTAAGCACCTACTTTGTGCCATTTTACACTATCATTATCTCTCTTCTACAGTTGAGGAAACTGAGGTAGACCAGTTTAAGGGACTTGTCCAGGGTCCCTTAGCTCCTAAATATATCTGAGGCTGGATTTGAACTCAGGTCTTCCTAACTCTAGGCCCAGCTTCCTCTAATAGCTTCTCAGTTCAAATCCACCACTATTAAGCACCTCCCATGTTTTGCTAGGGTTTGGAAAGGCCAAAATGAAGCAGCAGTTTCTGCCCTCCTCTTGCATTCTTGCAGGGGTGGGGGACTGGGGTAAAGCAGAGATCATTTGAGGAGGGGGAAAGGAGGTGAGCCAGCCCAGCTTCTTGTCTCTTGCCACTGGAGTCGCGCCAGAGCCAGTGTTACTGGCCTGATACTGACCTGCCTGTGCCCCTTTGCCGGCACCCGGGATCCCTGCTTCACCCGGCGTTCAGGCCCTCCCCCAGTCTGGTGGCAGGGAGGCCTGGGCTTCTCTTTTCCCTCTTTCATGCTTCCGCTCCTACTGATGTTTTCAATTTTCTTCCCCTGTCCTCCTGCCTGGAGCCTCTCCTCCCACGAGATCCTCCTGCCACGCTCCCGCCTCTCTTCGAGGACCCCACTTACTGTTAGCTCTCCTGTAGGCTCCTGATTTCTCCCCCCGCAGGGCAGAGCTCGGCTTCTATTGGGCTTCTGCCTCAGGTTTGCATTCTTACTCTTGTGCGTCTCAAAGTCTGGGCCGCCTCATCCCGTTGTTCCCTGCAGCACCTCATATGTACTGCAGCCATCGTCTGCTCCCGAATGAATGGAGAAGGTCTTAGGAAGGTCTCAGCCTCAGAGGGACAGGCCGAGTTCTTAGCACCATGTGGTCAGACCTTTCTGTTTTATGTGTGTGTGAACAGGTATATGTGTAGGCCTCACCACCCAGTTGTCTTCTCTCCGAGCCTTAGGTATTACTTCCATTACTGGCCATTACCAATGGCCGGAATTCCCTGCTGCCCACCATCCAAGAGCCGTATTCTACCATGGACGTTACGGATAGATGCCCTTTAGTGTCTGACCTGACTACAGCCTTGTCTTGTGCTATTGGGCGACTTTAAAGGCCTGTAGCAAACTGTGATTAAATGCCTAGCATCACACCTTGGGGTTTCACAAGGATGGCTTTGGACCCTCCGTTAGCGTCTCAGCAGTGTTAGTGATTTGTGTGGTTGGAGCTGTCCTGGGAATCTGAACCGAAGTCTATAAAGAAAGGGACTTGTTTTGAAAACTTGTCATTCTTGTGTTATCTCTTGGAGCCAGAGAATCCCTCGGTGAGCAAGGATTTGCTCTGACAGATGAACAGGGAGCTGAAGAATTTGACCCTGGCCCCGTTATCTCCTCCAGAGCTGCTGAGTGGAAAAATCTTACATGTTAATTGGTTTGGATGCCAGATTCTGGCCAATTCCACTGGGTTTATGGTATTTTAATAAGCATTCTGCACTTCTGGGGGAGAGGCAGCAAGGGTCTGCTTTCATTCCTGGCTTATGCTAATCCAAGAACTATTTAACCCTTTACTCTGTTAATCCACTTCCCTTCCTCTCCCCAGGGCCCTGCGCTGTGGTGGCAGCTGAATGGGAAGTGGTCAGTTCCTAAGAGTTTGTGCAAATATTTCTTTGCCAGTGTCCACACAGCACTCAGTGACTAACTCACCGTTTTGCATAAACATAATATCGTAGGATGTCAGAGCTGGAAGGCTTCTTAGAAATCCCTTTGCCGCTTTCAAATGGTGGCCTAGAGAGATTAAATGATATGTCTAATGTTACACAGTGAATTATTGGCGAGCCTGGAATTCACTCTGCCGTCTCAGTCCAGTCCGGTTCGTCCTTGAGACACAACAGTCTGGTGCCCTATTGGGCTTTCCCTACTGGATCCCCCTTTGACTCTGACAGGGGCCTACAGCCATCCTGACGGGAAATGGTCCAACGGGGTACGTCAGTGTCTGAGTTGTGGGAGAAGGGAATGAAGTGGCCTCCCTCCTCCTGCCGTCCATCCATCTTCCTCCATTCTGGTCTGCAGCCCTGCAGAGCAGTGTCTTAAGGAGGCTCTCCAGCAAAACACAGGTCCCAGCCTGAGAGCTAGAGAAACCCTTCAAGGGCACCCTAACGTATACTTTTGGACAAATTGGCCTCCTAGTTGGGGCCAGGGTTGAGGAGGGAGTAGGGGGTGAGAATGACAGCTGCTGTAAGCCGCAGATGTGATGACTCCACTTCAGCCAGAATGTACTGGCCAGGAGGCTGAGGGGGAGCTGCTAATAGCAGGAGGCAGTGCCTTCTTCACACAAAGGGCCCACTGTGTGCTAAAGCACCTAGAGTCAGGCCCAGTTCGATCAGGGTGTGATAGCATTTTTCTTAAGTTTTTGGCCCCTCCCAAGGTTAGGGGGTGCCCCTTCATGGGGCTGCCTAGAGCCAGCTGCTTGCCTTTTCCAATACCAGTCTAGGGACCCTGGAGTCTGCCTTGGCAGCCCCTCCGGGGCCTTCCTCCGTCCATTCTTTTCCTCCTCATTCTCACACCTCAAAAGAGATTCTGTTTTTATTTTTTACCAGTCAGTGCCTGAGACATTGGCACATTCCTCATATGTCACTGTTTCATGTGTTCAAGTCTAAGAGATGTCCCTGAGCATGTGTGGTCACTGCCTATTGGTATTCACTTTAAAAGGAGCTTAATTGGGAATGCATTAAACTGTGGGAGTCAGAATACATGAATTCTTGGCCTGTAGTTTAATCCTAAAGTAACTTTTCCCTCTGCCACAGATTAGGGTTTATATCTGGTGATAGGACCCTGGCTTGGAGAGGCTCACCACCAGCTTGGCCACAGGCATGAATTTTTCAGTTATAGCAGGCAATTTTCTAAGTCAGTCAATTGGTCTGTTGAGGAGCATTTATTAAGTGCCTCCTGTGTGCCAGGCACTGTTCAGAATAGGTAGAAGGGGGTGTCGGAAGGGCATGATGTTCTTTGGTGGCAGGTCTGTCCCCAGTGACAAAATGAGGGGGCCTTGAAGTCTGATTCAGTGGATGACCTCCGCCTGCTTCCCATCTCACAGCCACACAAGAACGGGCCGGTGGCAGCCAGTCTCCTAAAATACCTGTCAGACAGTCTGCAAAATGGGCTTGGGCTTATTTTTAAAAAGCTGAAGTTGTAATTAAAGTGGATTCTTCTCAAAGATTTGGCTTTCAGCATACGGTGTTTGAATTGTGGCTAGCACTGTGCATCCTGCCCCTTGTAGAATTTAAAACATTTTTGGGTGCTTTAGAATAGGGGTAATTTGTAGCCTGTTGGTTTTGATAGAAAATGCTCATCAGTAGCTCTTGAACAAAGCCACCATGCAGGGCTATTCCTTAGTAGTCACTGGAAAGGCTCTCCTTGAATAGTGGCCCCTGCTGGATGTGTGCTTAGTAAAGCAGACAAGTCCGTCAGCTCTCTGGCCTCTCAGGTCTGACCCGGGTTTGGGCCCTCCCACTGGGTGATTGTTTTCAAGGTGCTGTCTTTGTGGTCATTCTGAGCCTTATTCTTTGGCTTCTGCTTGCTTTGCTTGTGTCAGTTTCTGCAGGTTTTCCCATCTCTCTGAGTTCTTTGCATTTACCATTCCTGGTGGCACAGTGATGTTTCGTCACATTCATGGTTTACTCAGCCATTTCGGCATGGCTTCCTCACCTGGACTCGTGATCTCTCCAGTCCGTTCTGGTTTGAATGCTGAGTTATTCTCTTACTTATTTCTCTTCCTCCCACCCAAAACCACCAATCCCTGGCTTGTTCTCTATTCCTGTATCTTTTCCTCCTTGGCTAACAGTCAATCCTTCCTCTTTGGAGCTTGTCTTTTTACTTTTTTTCTGAGTTTTCACCACCTGAGATTCCATTGTAAGATAAAGGTGGCGAAAGAACCATGAAGGTTCTTGGTGGTGCTGACCCCCCCTGCTCTGCCCCCCCAAGAGAGCTTGGATCCTCTCCATTGTCGTCCTTAGCTGTCGCTGCTCTTCCTGACTTGGTGTTAAGGTCGATCAGTGGATGTTCTCCGTTACAGGAACAACGTTCGGCATCTCTGAAAAGTTCTCCAGTCTTGGTGGGGGATGGTGCTTTTGTCGATTCCACACTTAATATGCCTGTGTTACCTTCTGCTGGGCAAATGCCGAATTGTCAGGCTCCAGGCTGGCCGCCTTTCTGAAGGGACACCGCTCCTGTCCCAGGTCTGCGCTGGTCAGGAGTGACACAGTGCAGAGATTCAGCTGAGCTGAGAGTGAGCTGTGCATAGGCTCAGGGAGGTGGCTGGTGGCCTTGCCCTTTCCCCAAGCCCAGGGAGCCACAGAATGGTGTCCATCTGGCTGGCTTCTGTGGTCCTGGGCAGCTGTGGGGCCCCACCCATCCAAGCCAGAGTTTCCTACCCAGCTGTTCTCCTGGCTGTTTTTGAGCCAGGTTTGCCAGGAATATTGTTTCGTTTCCTCCTCTCTTCTTACCTTGACCCTCTGCCCTGCTGTTTGATTGATCTTCCCTTTAATTCCTTCCTCCCTGGGAGGAATTCTGTCCTTGGTCCCCCTGCCGAATGCTGAGGGCCTCCCGGGTCCTGGGGTCCCCATTCTGCTGCTAGGTTTCCACTTCCCCAAAGGGCTGGACTTTTGCTTGCCATGGAGACCCTAGGGAGATGTTTGTGAAGTGGGAGGGGCGTTGGGTTGATGACGACCTCAGTGGACAATTGGTTATACAGTGCACTTGTGTCATACCAGTGTGTGCTGTCGAGCCATCGTTGGCCCTCCTGCCACCTGGCCTGTGATTCATTGAGGATGTGCTCTAATCTGCCCCTAATACTCTAGCACCCTATCTGTCTACCCACCCTCCCTCTTCTGTATCCATTGTACGATTGGCCCAATTCAGGCCTAAGCAGAAACCCATCCCCTCTGCTATGTCTTTAGCATGGGCTCTTCTGCCTCCCACTGAACAATGCTCTGAAGGCACTGAGGGACAGCACTCATTATTAGGAAGTGTATCTCACTGCAAGCCTTGGGAAACCTCTTGTCTGTTCCTAGCTCTGCCGTCTGGGGCCGAGCAGAATAACCTCCATCCACATGATGGATTGCAATACAGCCATTGCAACCCATCCTCCTTAAGTCTGCACACCAAGTGCAGTTTCTTCATCTGCTTGTGGGTGTGCTGATGCAGTCAAAGCCCCTCAGGGTCCTGGTTCCCTTCTCTCTGTTGGGCTCTGCCTTGTCAGCACCCTTCTAAAACTTGTACCGAGATTTGAACGTGGTCTGTCTAGCATGGCCCTTGTCATTAATTTATTTTGATTTATCAACAATCACTTCCATAAGCTTTTGAGTTTAAAATTTTTCTCCCCCTCCCTCCCCAAGACGGAGTGCAATCTGATATAGGCTTTACGTATACATTCCTATTAAACATATTTTCACATTAGTCATGTTGTAAGGAAGAATTAGAACCAACAGGAGGAACCACCAGAAAGAGAAAACAAGACAAAACAGAAGAAAAATGAAGAGCAAATAGCATGCTTTGATCTGCATTCAGACTCCACGGTTCTTTCTCTGGATGTGGATAGCATTTTCCATCATGAGGCCTTTGGAGATGTCTTCGATCCTTGTGTTGCTGAGAAGGGCTGTCAGGCGCTCTCTTTTCTAAGGGGTGCCTTTTATTTCATGTGCTCACAAGTCCACTGAATGCATTTTAGAAATTTTGCCTGTAATGTAATCCAGCTCGTCATTAAATTTAGCATCTATTTGTTTCTCTATTTGAAGATCAAGATGGCTTTTGCCCTTCTCTATCCCTCAGGCACCATTGATTTGACTTGTACCATTGATTTTGGCCAGCAGTTCAGCCCTCATACATACCTCCTTCCTTGAATGCCCATCTTCCCTCCAGCCTGGAGATGTTATCTAGAGCGATCTAGATTGCTCTTTGCCCATCTCCCCACTTATCTGGAGTTTCAGTGAACTTGAAGCCATTGTGAATTTGAAATTTCCCAGCCTGAAGATCTTTCTCGTTGGTGGAAAGAAACAAGGCGAAAGCTGTGTTAGTGCTGCCCTTTCTTCATTATACCCCTGCCCTGAGGAGCACAACAGGTCTTGTCCCTTCTGTCATCCGGCCCTCTGCTTGGTCCTTCATTACGAGCCTCGGCTTGCTGGTGCTTTAGCATTCCTGCCATTGTCAGAGGAACACGCCCCTCTTTTGTATCTGTTGTCTGTTGTATGTCCTTGCTGCCATATTCTGCGCGGCTTCCTGGGTGGTTCCTGGGCAGCCCTTTTCATGATCCTTGCTACCCTTGGGCTGCCTTCTGTCTGCCTTCCTTGGTCGACCTTTAGGCTGTGGGATTGTGACTGTCCTTTCTCTGGACTCTTGAGATGAGCCTTCCTACTTGCAGTCTAGGCCATCAGACGTTCTTGCTTTCCACTCTAAGGTGGCGTGGCCACTTCTTCCCAATGTTCCTGTAGTGAGGGTTCTTACTTCAGACTAGCAGTTCCCCTCATTGGTCCCTTGTTTCCCTCTTCCACCTTGTAATGTTTTATTGGTTTTTTGAGAAGGCAGGCAGGACGCTTCTGTCCTGCCACACGGATGCAGAGCAGTCCCTTCTGCTGCTAGCTCATAGAAGCACGGACTCGGGCCTTCTCTTCGCACAGTTCAAACCTAGGTCTCTTTGAGACAACAGGGCAGGTTGAGATGGGATGGAGAGCTGTCTGAGGGAGCTTCACTGAAACTTGGCTCCTGGTGCTGTTGTCCCAGGAGAATTCTGATTCTGTCCCAGGAAATACCGTGGCATTCTGTGAGCTGCCCCCTCAAGCCCCTTTTTCCTGTGTGCTGATTCCCCTTGGGGCAGGGGCGGGGTCTCGTGGAGGAGAAGCCACGTGATAGGCTGTGCAGTGCCTGAAGTTCATGCTTTGGATGGCTCTGGAGAATGGGGGGCGTCAACTAGGCCGTCCCTCAGCCTGGTCCAGGCTGCCACTCACTGAGGTTGTAAACTTCTTTGAATGGGGATGATTTCCGTGCCTGGCACTTAGTAGGCACTTCCTAACTGCTTGGTGTTGGGGAAGTTTTGCAAGTCTTGAGACCCAAGTGGAGTTTTCTCCTTTTATGACAGTAGTGATAATAGTCCCTTTAGTTCTCCTGGTACTTTGCAGATCTTTTATTTAGCCCTGGGTCCTATTATCTCCTCCCAGGCCAAAGGAGCCCAGCCTGCTGTCAGTCCTCTGCTCCGCCTGGGCTGGTGGAGGCAGAAATGAGGCGCACACCCCCCACCCCGGGGTTTGTTTCAGAGCTCAGACCTGTCTGGCTTCTTGGGTTTGTTGAGGCCGTTCAGCCCTGGACCGCTCACGCTCTGATCTCAGCCCCTTTTCCAGAGAACCCTGGCTGTAGAGCTCAGACAGAACCACGGAGGGGTGGTCACCATTTGGTCTTTGAAGGAGTTAGTCATAGGCGGGGTCTGGGAGCATGTGCCCCAGCCCTCTGTCTGTGCTACGCTCACTTCCTGCTGGAGCTGACGTCATGATCCTGTGAACGGCTTGGCTCGCCTTTTATGGCCGTGAGTGGGTTCCAGAGCTGCTCTTGCAGGAGCGGGTGATGGGGCCTGGAGGATGTTCCATCCCTTAGGGATGCCTGGGTGTTTGGTCTTCCCTGCCCCCTCCTCCCCTGCTGAGCCCCCTGACTCACAGCTGAAGGATGTTACCTCACCTCCAGGGGCTCAACACTAAAGTATTTGGGGTTTTAACAGAACAAAACCCCTCAGCCCGCAGGGGGATAAGCCTAATGGAATCAGAAGAGGTGCTAGTGGCTTAATCCAAGTTTTGGATGAGAGAGGAAACCCAAAGCAGGAACCTAGAAGGCACAAGGGCTTTGGTTTTGTGGCCTTGTGGTGTGTGGCGTGCTTCGTGCCAGCAGGGGGCTCTGCAGAGGCCCCCCCACCCCCCCACAAGGATCCTAGCTGAAGGCGGTTCTTTCCCCCTCCCCAGTGGGGAGGAACGAGGCCTCTTTGAAGGGAGGCCCCGGTGCCCAGAAGCCCGTATGAGTTTTGAGCCAAGGCACAAGCATTTTTTGGAAGCATATGGCGGCGGTGTTCTTTGAGAAAGGCACCTGTGGAAAGGCTCATTGAGGAGGGTTCAACATCTGTTTAAAAAGGGGCAGGCTAGATTGTCTGCTAGGTATAGGACGCCCAGTTTGGTGGAGGTGGAGGAGACAGGACCAGCAAAGCTACTGGTGGGGGTGGGGTATCTGGGGGAGCTTGAGCCCAGTTTGTGGGTGAAGAAACAAGCCATGCAGCATCTCAGAGTGTCTCACCTGGGGCAGAATGGCAGTGCACAGCCATGTCTGGGGGCTTCTTTCCCCTGGAGTCTTTCTGCAGGAATTGTGGGGACTGGGGCAAGGCAAAGGGTAAAGGAAGGAGGCAGCTAGAGGAGCCCCCCTCCCCAGGTCCTAGAACACGCCCATGGGCTCAGACTTCCTTCCCTTTGCTCCTCCCTGCTTTCCTTAGGGCAAATGACCCAGCAGAACCACATGGAAATTTTAGTCCTTTTTATATCTATTAAAAATCTAACTCTTGCAAAAAAAAAAATCACTGCTTACCCTGTTACCCAAAAAGAGAACTGCAGCTGCTTGGGGAAAGCAGATTGAAACGTGCTTATGGGATCACCCCAAATCACAACAAAGAAAGACAAGGGTCACTGGAAGTGTAGGATCACAAAGTAGCCGGTTCCTGGGCCTGAGTCGGAACAGGTTAGAGCACCAGGATGGGCTCCTCCCCAAGCCCCCGACAGGGCCTGGGGAGCATTCTCTTCTCTTTCCCCTTTCCCTTTCCCTTTCCCTCCCCTCCCCTCTCCTCTTTTTCTGGAGCGTTAAAGACTTAGACCACCCTCCCAAGACTCAGATGCCAGGCACAGTGGGGGGTGGGCTGGTGGCTTTTGTGGGGGCCCGCTGGGGCCTTCGTATGGTTGGGGAAGTAGCATCGCCCCGTGGCTGCCTTCTCTGGACCCTGGCTTCCTGTTCCCCAGCCCAGCATCTGACTCCTCCTCACACAATTAGAAGAATTCCAGCTCTCCCAGGGCCTGGCCCTTCTCAGGGCTGGGAAAGCACTTCCTTTTATGGCAGTAACTACCCGCCTGCCTGCAGCTGGACTTGTCTGTACTCGCAGGTACATTCCTGCAGGCTTCAGGAGGCAGTGACTAAGCAGGCCTCTGGAAGTGGGAGGGAGGTCTCTGGGGGGTGGGGGTGGGGCAGGGCCTGTCAGTGGGGCTCCTTCCCACGCCCCATCCCAGACCTTTTTGCTGAGTTATCAATGGACTGGGATTGAAGTGATGGCGAGGACCGGACTCAGCCCTGGCCTGTTGACTGGACATTAAGCCAGTGAATGCTTACCTTGGCAAAGGTAGCGGCTCAGGGGAGTGGCTTAATCTCCCAAGGCCACGTACGAGAGAGACATTAACCACTCTCTGATGTCTTCTCTGACTGCCCAGTCACCCAGAGCCGTCCTCGAGGCCATCTGGACTCTGATTAGCCATTTCAGGAAGTATGGCCTGTGGCAGGGCTCTTGAGGGGCTGTCCAGGGGAGGCCTCTCCTAGCAGAGTGGTGGGTCCAGCACTGCCCAGTAGAGACCTGATGGTCTAAAGGGAGCTGAGTGCAGAGCCCTGTAACCATTCCCACCAACCCCTCAGGGACTTGAGGGAGGTCAGGGAGTCAGAGCCCCACTTAGCATGAAAGCAATGAGGTGTGGAGGTTGAAGGCACCTAGGGCCATGGAAGATGAGAGGGGGCAGCCCTGGAGTTCCTGACTCATTGGGCAGATTGCTAGGGAAACCGAAGGAAAGACTTTCCTTCCCACTAATTTCTCTTTTTCAAACCTACTTTCAACATGCAGGCAAGTACTAGATCAAATAATGCCCTCCTCCCTGTAGTGATGTTGACTTAATCAAGGCAGGGGACAGTTGGTTTGAGGGGAAAGAATGGAAAAGGCAATTTTAAGTCCATGGCTGCAGGCCTCCCTGTTATTTCCTCCAGGTTTCTTGTGCTTATTTATAAGGCAAGATTGGAGGACCTTCTAGGCCACATGTGTGGGTAACCTGGCCCAGAGGTAATAGAAACATGCATCATTCCTCTCTCCTTTGGCCGTCACTTAGCTCGGGAGGTACGAGGGGCTGCCTGCTGCCCTTACCACCCCAGAGGGCCCTCCCAACAGGGACGTGTGGCCACGCTAGCCGAGGAGCGCTCCTACCCCACGTGTGCTTCATGTTTTGGACCACAGCGGGACTCCCTTTCCATGGGCTGAACAAAGAGCTTTTGTGAGTAGCGGATGGTTATTCTGATCTGTCTCACCCCTGTTTCCTTTGTTTCAGATCGAGAAGACCAGTCCATTTTGTGCACGTAAGTGGGTTTTGTTTTGTTTTTTTTTAAACATCGTGATGCTGTGTTCCATGTGTTCTTCCCTGACCTGTTTTCAAGAAGGGGTAGATTTGTGTGTCATGTGAAGAAGAATTTATCTCCCCTTCAGCATGTTTTGATTCCCTGATTCCCAGATTCCTTTTCCCAAGTGGCAAGGCCCAACTTCTAGTTCCATTCGGTGCCATCTGACTCTACTGTGGGGACGGCCTTTATGTCATAGGGAGAGATTTAATTTACCTTCCCCCAAGGAGCCTTCAGCTCCACACAGAAGTCTGGTGTACTTGGGTTTGAGTAATTTCTAAGTCCCCAAGCCACAGCACAGCTCCCTCTGGAGAGGAAAGCAATCCTTCTCTTACTGAAAGAGTTAATAATGGTCTAAAACATTTTGGTTTTAGTCCAAGTAAAATTTTGAAGGAACTTTAAGTCCCTTTGACCCACCAGCAGCTGTCTCCGATTCATTCCTAAACCATTTGGATATGAAAGCTGCCAAGTGACCTGGCCAAGCCATGGACACAAATTTACTTCTGCCAGGCCTCCTGAGGACCATGGGAAACTCTCTAAGCAGGGATTCCACAAAGCAGTGTTTGGCTATAGCTAGCAGTCTGGTCGTTAGGGGGATTGGATGTTAAACAGGGTAAAAAGGGAAAGCTCCCCAGGCCAGGAGAATTGAATATGAGTCTCTAACGGCAGCTGGAACAGAAGATGGCTGTGGGGACTGTGGGGGCTGGGGAAGTGACACACCCACTTATGGATGCCGTGACCTGAAGAGTGGGTGTGATTGTAGTGAGCTCTGGGCCACAGGACTTGTGACACCAAGTGAATGCCGCCATGACTCTGATTCCAGTTGGACTGCTGCTCCCTTCCTGAATTGATGTGTTTAAGAGGGAGGCACAACAGAAAATAGGCAAGATGGGATAAGATCTGCAAACGCAGCAACACAGACGTCTAGAGGGGCGAGCTCAGCTCAGGTTGGGTTTTTCTGAAGCTCTGCTCTCCTGCAGACCCAGAATGAAGCAGGAACACACGACTATGGGCTCAGGACCAAATTCAGAATGGGCCAGAGGGGAAGGGACAGAGGACCCCGCAACAGCAGCTTACCCCAGAGGAGGGTTGGGAGGGGAGGGGAGGATACTTGGAGCCATGACTAACTGCAGGGAAACAGAAGAGTCAAAAGAGGGGGGGAATGAAGTGAGTCACAGAATCGTGGTCAGCGGGGAATGGCCTCAATGTCGTGGTAGAGCTGTTGGCAAGGACAAGGGAGACTTCAGTAGGAAGGCAGTGAGAAGCCACCCCAAGGAAATCAGTGGAGGAAAGCCCAAGTCTATCACTGCTCCCCACTAGTGTGACAGAAGGGAGCCCCAGACTAGACCAGAAGATCAAAGCCAATGTTTGGCTGTCACCATGTAGAGCTGGGGAAGGGTTGGGAGAGAAGGGAGCCCTTCAGGAGCGTCCTCCACACATCTCATTGCTTCCTTGGATCTCTTTGTCAGGGGGGAATCAGGAGCTGGAAAGACTGAGAACACCAAGAAGGTCATTCAGTACCTGGCTTACGTGGCTTCTTCGCACAAGAGCAAAAAGGACCAGGTGAGTCCCCTCTCTTGCTTTCCTTTGGTTTCTTTGGCCAGGTAATTGTCAGGGACTGAAGCGCTTTTGATTTATCCTGGATTTCTGATCTCAGGAAATGAAGAAGGTGGGCAGCCCATGACCTCTGGGACGTATACCCAGAGTTAGCACTCCTGACTATGGTTTTTTAGGGACCGCCGAGGTGCCGTTAGGGAAGGCCTAAGTTGGCCATGACAGCAGGGAGCACTTTTGGAGAAACTGCTAGATGGTGTGTGAAGCCATTCTTTCTGAAGGCCTGCTCCAGTGAGTGCTTCCTCACAGCTTGGGCCTGGCTCTTGGTTTAAAAAGGAAGCCATTTTGATCGATGTATTTTGGTTTTATGTCACATTTTCTAATGTATTCTTCCCTGCCTCCCTCTTTTAGAGAATTGCCCCTTATAACAGTTAAAAAAAAAAAAGCAAAAACAATTTAGCAAAACTACTATCAGAGTGTCCAACCTATTTGCATTGTTCTGCAGCCCTGGCCCCCACCTTTGTTTTTGAAGGCTTTGCCAGAGTAGTCCAGGCCTTGGCAGTATATGCCCGGTGACCAGGTGGGGGGGGGGCGCTGTTCATCCTCTGGTTGGCCCCAGAATACGCATGTGGGGATGAGTAGGGGGCGGTAATGATTTTTTTTTTATGTGTGATCTGGTGGGGGAGGACCGTGTGAGCTGAAGAGCTGGCCCTCCCCTGCATCAGGCTGGGGGTGCTGGGCAGACAGCGGTTCCAAATGTGTGCTTCGAAGTCCGGTGCTAATGCCAGTGGGGGCTGTCCCCCCAGGAAAAGAGGCCACCTCGACACTTGTCTTACGTGCATTTTTCCCCCCTCCCTTGATGGATTATGGTCGAACTCGTCAGCCGTGTCCTCGTTAGGTGAGCCGCACGTTTGCTGCACGTTTTGCACCAGGAATGCGTGTTCTCCCCATCGTGTGTCCTGATTTTTCCCCCCAATGAGCTTTTCACTCCACACCGTACCACCTGCAGCTCGAATGGTTCTCATAGACCCTGCTCACTGTTTGGAGGGGAGGTCGAAGGCTAGAGATTTGTGATTCGTTGTCACCTGCTCAGAGTGATACTGCTAATTGGTCCCAGGGCCTCATTGCCCAGCCTTTATTACTCAGTGAGCCCCGCTCCGGGCCCTTAACCTGAAACTTGGCCTAGCGCACTGTGCCTGAAATGTTCCTCTCCTGGGACCTGGCCTCAGTGGGATCGTGTGGAAGTCACTAGTAGCATCCTTGCCCACTCTGTTGCAAGCCAGATGTGGACAGGACCTACCCCCTGCCTGGAGGTCACCGTGGCTGCCAGGGAAGGCTCCAGGGAAGGCTCCCTCTGGTTGGGGCTTGGCAGTCAATCTTAAGCATGACTGTGTGTCTCTTTCTCTTTCACGTGCACCCACGTTTCTGAGCTTCAGTATAAACCACGGTGCCAGTGATATCCTCGGTAGCTACTCTTGGTACCTGGACATCTTGGTGGCTGTGTTCAGCATAAGTGTGGTGGAGGGGAGGTGTCTTTGCATGCAGACCTGGGGTGTGGACATTCTTAATGTCTTAATGAGAACAGACTTCTGGAACGGAACCAAGTGGAACCTTCAAGGTGCCAAACTGCACACGGCTCTGATGTTTTTTTCCGTGGGGCGTTAGTGGTTATATTTAGAAACTCTTAAGGTTTCTTTTTTCCCTCCTTCCCACCCCTCTTTTATTTTCCATTCCTCACTTTTTAGGAGGTTTATTTTTAAAACAGAGCCGTGAGGTTGGGGCTTAGGTCTCCAGCTATACTTTAAAAAAAACATTTCTTGTTCCAGTGAAGTAAAGTATTTCTTGAATCTCTCTGGTGTCCTCTGTCTAGGGGAGTGGACACTCTCCTTGCCCTTGGGTTTGGCCCCACATAGACTCTGCTGCCAGATAGGAATGCAGAGGAGGCTCCAGTCAGGAGTAATTTGTGTAGTTTGGAGTAATCAGGGAAAGCTTCCTGGAGGAGAAAGAAAGTGGAAGTTTCTGGGCATCCCTTCCATTGGGCTTGGACACAGTCTGGACGCTGTCTGGGCCGCGTTGTCCCTTACTGAGTGCCTTGTTCTTTGGTTGGGTAGACCCGTTCAAGCCAGGGGCTCATTTAGTCTTTATGTATCTATGTTGATCAATTTGTCTGTATTTGTCTGTCTGTCTGTCTGTCTGTCTGTCAGTCATCTGTGTCAGCTACCTTCTGTGAACCCAAGGCCCGAGTCCCTTCTGTCTGCAAGGAGTTGCTGGGGCCACAAGGACCCAAACAGGACTTTCTCTTTTGCCTTTCTCTGGAGAGGAAGGTCTGGCAGAAGGCTTGAGCGTGGCCACATAGAAGGCCTTGTTCGGTGGAGCAGGTCACCTTGGCTAAGCAGGCTTTCCTGTAATGGCCTCGTGGCTGTGCCAGCAACTCCCCCCACCGTAGTCTATCACCCAGGCACATGCTGGGTCTTTGTAGAAGCTGTGAACATATATTAAAAAGAGCTCATGATTGTATGTTATGCATAGTTAATTGCATTTTAAAATCTCCAGCATGGTTAATTAGATTTAAAAAAAAAAGAGAAAACCCACCAATTAGTTGTCTTGCTCTTCCGTGTGGCTTTCCTTCTGCCCTTAGAATGGGAGCTTTTGGGTGTGTTCAGCATTCCATGGTCACTCCTCACGGTCCTAGACATAGACCTCGGAGCCTTCTCTTGTTGCAGGCGGAAGGCTCAGCCGGCCAGGAGAGGCAAAGGCTTCCAGAGTTCTCTCTCCTCAGAAGGAAAAAGAGAGTGAGGTGGCTTCTTATCTTGGGGGGAAGGCTAGACATGTGGCTGGAAAGGAGTATCTAGTGGGTAGAAAGCAGGCCTCCTCCCAGACTGCTCCCAAAGGCTGTGGCAACCAGCCTTCCCAGGCCAGCCCTCCTTCAGCAGTGCAAGAGTGAGTGGAAGCCTGGAGGCTGGGTGTCTGCTGGTGCCAAAAACATCCACGTAGCCATGTTACTCTCATTTTTATGCTTGTGGTCTGGCCTGTTGATCAGTTCTTCATGGGGAAGGCATTACACTGCTGATCCACATTGTCTGGAAATGAAAGGTTTCTCTTGCTTTTGCTATTTGTAGAACTCCTAGCCTGAGATCTGGCCACTTTGACAGATTGTTAGGAGGGTCCAGTCTCTGTCTGCTCTTTGCCACCCTGCTGCATCTGGTGCCGCTTGGGGCTTTGCATTAGAAGGCTGCGTGCAGTCAGGGAGATCAGCGCTATTGGTCCAGTTCTCCGTGAGGAGCCTGGGCTTGGTCTGTCCCTTGTACGTGAGCACAGGCCGCTGACCGGCTCAAACAGGTCTCCTGACCCAGGAGAAGGTGGCCAGAAGAGGAACGGAGGCTGCCTGCTCACCCGTCATCAGTGGCTGAATTCTAGGGGCATTAGCATGTGGCCATCAGAGCCCTGGGCTAGGAGCTAAGGGCCCTTCGTCCTCATTGCCCGCTCCGCCCCTTAGTAGCCCTGTGGCCTCTTAGCTATCAAATGGGGACAGTTCCTGGTCTGCCCACCTGCCAGCCTAACCAGGTTGTTGGAGGCATTCAGGGTTAGAATCTTTCAAAGGAAACACTGGAGGCAGTGTCTGTGTGACCCGGCCCAGGTTTTTGATCTCTAAGTTGGGGGTGAGGGGAATGCTGTCGCCTCTGACTAGCATCCTTGGTCATAGATGGGGAACGTCCATTACAGAGGGCTGGGGCAGTTGGTGTTACTCTGTTGCCGATGCTGACTAGGGTCCCGTGGGCCATATGTATAGGACTGGCCTGCCCAGAGACAGAGCCCAGGCTGGCTTGGAGGATGCCCATCGTGTATCATCTCTTCCCCCCCGGATGACCTTGGGCAAGTCAGGAGAACCTCTCTGGGCCTGAGTTTCCTCCTGTAAAACGAGGGGGTTAAACTAGATGACCACCCCCATCCCTTCCCGTTTCTCTAGCACTTTAAGCCCGGCAGACACCGGCCCTCAGGACAGGCGGGCTGTGCAGTTCGCGCCATCCCCCGTCTGGAGGTGAAGAAACTTGGTCTGAGGTTGAGTCGTGGGCCAAGGGACGTTAGAACTGGAAGGGAGCTGCCCCAGGATGGGGGCCAGCCGGGCTCCAGCCGCCCCTACAGAGCATTGAACTAATTAGCTGACCTGCAGCAAGTCGCTCCCCTTCCAGCCTCAGTTTTCTCGTCTTTCAGATGAGTCTATTGTTCTGGGGGACATCCAGCAACTCTTCTAGCTGCACACGCCTGTGCACGTCACTTGTGGCACGAGGGACGTTCTTTCCTTCTAGGGCTGGGCCCCAGCAACCAAAAAGACCAGGGGCTGTTGGTGATTGCACAGGCTGTGGAAGGCAAGCTGGCGGGAAGTCTGCTGTTGATGTTTGGCAGGCCCCTCGTGCCACCTATGCCTGGTTCTGATGGGCTCATTGACCCAAACTGGTCACTGAGCATCACTCTTCCTCTGTATTGCTTCACAGGGTGAACTGGAGCGACAGCTGCTGCAGGCCAACCCCATCCTGGAGGCCTTTGGGTAATGCCAAGACCGTGAAGAATGACAACTCTTCTCGATTTGTGAGTGGCTCCTCCCCTCCCCCAGCAGTGCCTTCTGGGCTCAGCCCGAACCCTACCACAGGACTGCAGGAGACCTTTCCTCCCCTAGCCCTAGCCCCTGCCCCCCTCCTGCTTCAGTGACGTTCTCCCCTACTCTGTGTAGATCTGTTTTATTTATGCTGTCTCCCCCCTTAGAAAGGGAACTTCTTGAGGGCAGTGCCTGGTTTTGCCCTGCCTTGTATGTCCCCTGCACACTTAGTATGGGACCAGCTATCTCTATTTTTTCCTATCCTTCCCTGACCTCAGGGTGCTTTTAGATTGGGTATTCCCTTCTGGGAAGGGAGAATTGTCCTGCTTTAATAATACCTACTAAGTGTAGTCTGATACTTAGCCCCACCTCCCCAGTAGACTGGGCTGTCTGCTGGCCTCTACAGTAAGAGGCCAGCAAGGCAGGGCGTGGAGGAACTTGACCATCATCTCCCAACTTTGACCCGTGGCTGAGGAGCCAGGTGGACTGGCCCCATTTCCTGTATGACCCTGGTGCCAGCTGCAAAGGCACAGAGCTGTGCCCGGCCCTCCAGAAGTGCCAGACGTGCATTGGGCCCAGCAGATGAGTGAGCTCTGCTGCCTAGGCTGAATGACCAGAGCACTGGATATGGGTCGGCCTCTCTGATCTCTTTTATGTCTCCTCAGGGCAAGTTCATTCGGATCAACTTTGATGTCAATGGTTACATTGTGGGAGCCAACATCGAGACTTGTATCCTTGATGTTGACCCATTCCCAGGTTCTAAGGTGGAAGAGGAAGACCATGCCTGGATGGACTCCGACTTAGCTTCTCCATTCCAGAGGGTGTCTCCTCTCCGGGGTTGGGATGCAAGCCAATACTGAATCACTGTATCAATCGAGGCTTTTTATATACATATATATATATATGTATATATAAATGATTGTATAATATCAGTATATTTTCTTTTAATACCATAAATACACACTTTATTTTTTAAGTTAAAATAAATAAAAAGGTAAAGGTTGTGAAAAGAACATGAAAGCCAGCAGATGACGCACAAAAGCCTAGTATTTTAACTTAACATTGACCTGCATATAGCCTATGACCAAATACTTGAGCATTTAAGTATTTTAAGTACTTTTAAGTATTAAGGTACTGTAAACATCCCGTGAAAGAAAAAGAAAAAATTCAGACTTGTGGTAGAAAGGGAGGGCCAGAAATGTTTATGTGGATTTTCCAGCCTGCAGGGTTGCTATGCCCCGAACCCTTGCCATGTGGAAGGTACAGCTGTATATTTGTCTCTTAAAAGGAGCCTGGTAGAGTAAGGCTCATGGCATTTTGAGTTCGGTTCTTCATTGCAATAAAGCATTTCCTACATGTGCTGGCTACAAGCCAACCTCAGGTTTGGCCACCATATTGGTTTCAGAACTCAAATGAGGGTTATTTTGAAACTATTTCCCCTTCTCCACTAAGGGCATTATAATCCCATAATTGTTTTTTGTGCCTGACCCTTTATAAGAAAAGTACCATTTAAGTTATTCAAGATATTGCTGTGAAGTAAACACGAAGACTGGTTAGACCCTCTGGTCTTAATAGATTAGATCCCAGGTGGTTGTTTTGACTTTGCTTACATAACTTTTTGTCTGATGAAGTTCCAGCTGTTTCTGTAGGGAGTTTTTCTTCCCTTTTCATTGCGTTTCACCCAGAATAGTTCCTTGACGTTTTCAAAGATCTTTTGGAGAAATCACGGGCCATCCGTCAAGCCAAGGAAGAACGGACCTTCCATATCTTCTACTATCTGCTGTCCGGGGCTGGAGAACACTTGAAGAGTGAGTCTGGGGACGTCCAAGAGTAGAGCAGACACCAGTGAAGACAGGAGAGGCAGCCACAGAGGCCCAGCCGAGGGCTCTCTTTTATATTTTCAGACGTGCATGCTTTTTAATGCTGAAACAATCTGATCTCCACAGCACGCACGTAAAATCCTACATGACGGCCCACACGGGAGCTGGCATTTGTCAAGTGTCATCTTGGCGCCTTGGCTTGTCTCAGCGTGGCCTGCGCGTTGGGTTTCCTATGGGCTCTAAGCCCCGTCCTTTGTTGACCCTGGGGGTAGGCAGGGTGGTCAGCCCATCAGTCCCTTATCTTTTCCTTTGCTGTCTCAGGGACTTGTCTTCGGTTTCTGGGTCTATGTCTGTCCATGGGCTGGGGCTATAATAGCTCAGGCTTATACAGTGCTTGTTGTGTGCTAAGCACTGTTCTGTCAGTGTGTGTGGGAATTAGCGGGGCTGAGGCAAGTCTGTAAACCCCTCATGAGGATGGCGAGGGCCCCGACTCGGCTGTTTCCATCCTTTGGCCCTGCTTCCTCCATGCCGGAGCGAGGGCTCCGATGAGGCGATCTCCAGCGACACCCCTTGCAGCTCCCCGTCTGTGGCCCCGTGGACTTCACATGTCTTTGCCTTTGCAGCTGACCTCTTGTTGGAGCCCTACAACAAGTATCGTTTCCTGTCCAATGGGCACGTCACCATCCCAGGCCAACAGGACAAGGATATGTTCCAGGAGACCATGGAAGCCATGAGGATCATGAGCATTCCTGAGGAGGAGCAAATGGGTATGATGGCGGTCGGGGACGAGATGGTCTTCGGGCTCGGTTCACATTAGGGGGTAGAAATTGAGGACGAAACGGGCCTGGCTTATTGCCAGTTCACATCTTGGAGCAGCATCAGCAGGGGAGGGTGAGGCAGAGGTTCCAGGTGATAGGACAGTCTTCTTCCTTCCACCTCCACTCTTCTCTAGCCCATGGCTCTGTTCCAACTACTACCGACCTCCCTAGAGGCTGTGTGTTGAGGAAACTGGAGAATTTGGTCTTTTTCAGTTGAGTTGAATCGAAAGAAGGGTCTCTGGGCCACTGATGGACACAGCAGCTGATTTCAGATTGGGAAGCATTCACTTTTATGCTAAGAGAGAACTTTGTGGCCCAGGTCTGCCTCCATCATGAGGAAATTTGGCTTATTGAAATATGGGGGAGAGTAGACTTGGGGTACATTGGGCAGTCTCTGTCTGGCTCAGAGGAGATTTCATCTGCAGGTCCTGTGAATCTTTCTGCCTTTGACCTGGCTTTGGAACCTCAATTCTCCAGTGGTCTTCATTCAGTTCAGACTGGATGAGAAGGAAGCCATTTATCTCAATTTGGCTCTATTTCTATTCAATAGAAAGATTAAAGATTGAAAAAAAAGCCAACCCTCTGTCTGCCTCAAGCTGCCCAGCAGTTAGGCAGAGGAGAGGAAACGTGCATAGCCTCCTTGGAGAAGAGGGCTCCTGTTTTAAGGGCAGGGCACATATACAGACATGTGATTGTGAAATTGGAAGAAGGGGGTGGGCTTCTTGGGGGAGGTGTGGCCCCCAAGCAGGGCAAAGTGGGATCAGGTCAGGGGCACCTGCTCTTCCTTCTGCCTGTCCCCTGACAGCCATGGCAGTGAATAGGAATCCAGGGCTGGCCTGGCACACTGCTCTGATGAGCATGGTGCTAGCTGTAGGAGAAGGAAGCCATGTGGAATGCAAAGTAAATTTTTAGTAGCAGCAGAATCACTAAAGGGATAGAGAGCTTCCTCTCAACCAGGAAGTTGCGGGTTCAAATTCCACACATCCTGACTGTGCTAACCCGGACAAGTCCCTTAACCTCTCGATACACATTCGCCCCACCCCCCTTTGCAGCAGCAGGCCCTCACTTGGCCTTTGTGTCCTTCTCCACAGGCTTGCTGAGAGTGATCTCAGGGGTCCTTCAGCTCGGCAATATCGCCTTCAAGAAGGAGCGCAACACTGACCAGGCCTCTATGCCAGACAATACAGGTACGGGGCCACTCGGGTGATGCTGGAACAGTTACCCTGCCATACTGCAGCCCATCGACCGTGCTCCCTGCCTCCATCTGGCTGAGGAGCAGAATCTTTGTTGGATTTAAGTTGGAGGGAAAGGACTGCAAATAGAAAAAGAGACATAGTCCTTGCTCTCCTGAAGCTCCGTGTGATTGGCAGAGACCACATGTGGAAAACCCACAGACTAGAAGGGCCTTGGACAGTGGACAGTAATGGCAGAGGGGTATTTAGGGCCTAGAGGGCAGGGAAGGTGGCAAGGCCTGGGGGCGTTGGCATAGTAAGAGCCTGCTGGGCCTCTGGCTTGTCACAAGCAATAGGGTTCCTGAATCTGTCTACTCAAAGCTCAGGGCAATTGTATGGTCAAGGAGAGAGACTGCTCCTAGCGGGCGTGGGCCTAACACTGTCCCAGCTGCAGGCTGGCCTGGATGGGCTTGTGATGGAGTGGGTGGGGGACCTCTAACATGGGGTAAAGCGCCTCCTCTTCAGCTCAGGTGAGCCTTTCATACATCACCCAAAGGAATGTCGCTGCATTTCTCTGGGCTTCACAGGAGCAAAAGAGGGCATGAGGGGGCCTTTCCTGCTGGGCATGTGGCCCAGTGGGTGGGTGGGCACTGTCCTAGTGCAGATGGGCATGGAGCTGTCCTGCTCTTTCTGACTGACCGCTCTTGTCCAGCCCCTCCCAAGGGTTTAATTTTTTCTCTCTTGCCTGAATACCTGTAGCTGCCCAAAAAGTCTCCCACCTTCTGGGGATCAACGTGACTGATTTCACTCGAGGGATCCTCACGCCTCGAATCAAGGTTGGACGGGATTATGTACAGAAAGCCCAGACCAAAGAACAGGTACGTCTTTTACGTCACACCAGCTGTCTCGTGACAAACTTTTCTTGAACGTGTCCTTTCAAAAACATTCAGTTTTTTTGTCTTTTGTTTTCACAACCACTCTGTCACCAGTCCGATTCCCTATCACAAGCAATTCTTTTTTTTAAATAAAAAGAGGAAGAAGAGAGGGGGAAAGTCAGCCTAACTAATCAATACATTGAAAAATCGATGCCGTGTCCCACATCCCTGGATGGGCACGGACCAGACTGGTCTTTTCTGAGGAAGGCAGAGGAAAGGAGAGGCAGTCAGGATGGCCCACCCCTTTAAGCTGACCTGCAATGGGGCCATTTCTATCACTGCATGTGTCTGAGTTGGCTTTCTACCCACTGCACCACACTGCCCTCATTGCTGCTCTGGGATGCTGGGACTCCTGATGAAGGTTTGACTTCTCTCCCTTAGTTTTACTGGTGACTTTACTGTAATTGTGAAATGAGCAAGACTTGAGGGTGTGCCATTAGGTCACCAGGGATATGAGACAAGACACACATACACACACACACACACACACTCACACTCACTCACTCACTCACTCACTCACTCTCACACTCTGTCGGGCTCGTGACGGTCAGGGCCGTGTCTGCCAGGGAAACGCCTTCACTTTTCCATTGATCTTTCCCTTGCCTCCCTTCCCTTACAGGCCGACTTTGCCATTGAGGCTTTGGCCAAAGCTACGTACGAGCGGATGTTCCGCTGGCTCGTGATGCGCATCAACAAGGCGCTGGACAAGACGAAGAGGCAGGGCGCCTCCTTCATCGGCATCCTGGACATCGCTGGCTTTGAGATCTTTGATGTGAGCCTTTCTCCATCGTCATCATAGGCCAAGGGGCTGCTCTTTGTGGACCCCCAGGATCCCTGCCTGCCTTCTAGTTTGGATGGGGCCTAGACCCCCCCTGCCCCACAAAAGTGTGAGGTTCTGCCGTGCACAGTCTCAGCAGTGATTAGGGCGTGGCCAGTAGGCAGGGGAGAGGTCAGTCCTTCCTTGCAGGGCTTGGCCTGCCTGACCCCACTGGCCTCATTCCTGGGGAGCAGGGCTGGTCGGCCCTTCCGGTAAGCACCCAGCCTCACTGGCCCCTCGTTTGCCTCTTTGCAGCTGAACTCTTTTGAGCAGCTCTGCATCAACTACACCAATGAGAAGCTGCAGCAGCTCTTCAACCACACCATGTTCATCCTGGAGCAGGAGGAGTACCAGCGCGAGGGCATTGAGTGGAACTTCATTGACTTTGGCCTGGACCTGCAGCCCTGTATCGACCTCATCGAGAAGCCTGTAAGCCCCGGCCTTGGCACTCTGAGTCCCTGTCCCATTCCCCTCTGTTCTCTGGCTCTCACTCTAGCCAGGATCACTCAGTGATCTCTGAGGAGCCTTCATGGGGCCCTGGGGTAGAGCCCAGGAGAACTGCAGCTCACGTGCTTTGAGGCCGGCTCAGTTCACCTGGGAGTGAGTGTGACCTTGCCCCACTGTCACTGCCCCCTCAGCACAAGGGTCCTGATTATCTGATTCCCAGGCCTGGGGCTGAGCAGCTCCTCTGTCTGTGGGAATGATAAGTCCGATCCAGCCCCGGCCAAAGTCTAGGGTTTCATCGTCTGACCAATCAGCTGGCCTGGGTATGGGTTTGCAGCCGCTCAGCCCCGGCCTGCTGGCCAAGGGGGGAGAGTGTGAACTCTGCTCCTGCCATCTTTGGAAAGCCCCACGGCAAAGCAGAGCACATTGCAGCCAGTCTCTCCCTGTGAGGGGCTGTTCTCTTTGTAACCCTCTTGTAACAAGAAATCTCCTTCCACCAGCTTCAGATGAAGAGATAGCTCTTCCTTGATAGTCTCCATAACCAGATGCTGCCCATGAGCCCTTCGATTTAGCAAGCTCCCTATGACTACTTCTGTGTACAAAAGAGGTTCTAATGGTCAGTAGCGCCCCTCCTTTGCAGACGAGCAAATGGGGCCTCTTAGAAGTTGAGTCGCTTCCCCTTAGACGAGTAAATGTCTGAGGTCTGGGATTTCAGCCAGGCCCCAACTCCAGGCTGGGATTCTGTCCATCGCACCCCCACCTCTAGGGTGCCTGTGTAGGTTGGTTTTGCAGCCTCTTCTGGAGTGGGAGCAGGGTTGCTCTGATCTGGAACATAGCCCCTCATTTCCTCTCCTTCAGTAAACATGAATTAGCTTGGATCATTGGGGAAATATTTTTTCATTAATGGAATCTTTTGATTCTCAGTAAATTCCAGATTCCATTGTTTTAAAGGTCTCAATAAGCTGAGAATTGGTGGTATGAGATCAAGTGTGGTATGGACAGGTGGCTTCTCCCCCTTCAGAGCCTGACTCTGTCCCGTTTTCTGTGCTCCCCTAGGCGGGCCCCCCTGGCATCTTGGCGCTTTTAGATGAAGAATGTTGGTTCCCCAAAGCCACAGACAAAAGCTTTGTAGAGAAGGTGATGCAGGAGCAGGGCACACACCCAAAGTTCCAGAAGCCCAAGCAGCTGAAAGACAAAGCTGACTTTTGTATCATTCACTACGCTGGCAAGGTAAGGAGCAGTCTGGCTCCCTCTCTGGAGGGCTGTGGAGAGAGGGGGTGGGAGGATCATCTGAGCGCCGAGAGGGCCAGCCCACCTCTGGCAACGGGCTTCACAAAGGGGCCCTGGGGCTGGGTCCAAGCTGACTTGACTGGTATATGATGCCTCCTGGGCTTTCCTTATTTGAGAAGATCTGCCCATCAGGACTAAATCTTACCATTTATACGTGTCCAGAGAAACTTTGCCTCTGTGGGGAATATTTTCCCAAGGTATTTTGGTATAAATATCCCTATGGGATGAAGCCATTCCCCTCACATGCTGGCAGGTGCCCATTCCCAATTTTTGCAGACCAGCCTTGCCCTTGAGCACGCACCAGGGACCTTCCGGCCTGCATTGTTGGCTTTCACCCTAGTCACATCCATCCCCAGGCTGCCCAGTTCTTGTGATGGCTAAGGACCCTTCCTTTTTCAGGTTGATTATAAAGCTGACGAATGGCTGATGAAGAACATGGACCCCCTGAATGATAATATCGCCACACTTCTCCATCAGTCCTCAGATAAATTTGTCTCCGAACTGTGGAAAGATGGTATGCCCTTAACCCTCTGGATTTGTTATTTATGTGAGGTCTGGTCTACTGTCTTTGGTTTGGAAGGCAGAGCCCCCAGATGAAGTTTGCTGCCCCACCACCACCATCACCTCATCCTCCATGCTTTATTTGAACTTGACTTTGCCAAATAGTTTCTGTGCAAGGGAAAGGGATCTTCTTAGATTGAGAAGAGTCAGCCTTTGGCACTGAGCCACATTCTCAGCAATCCCCGGAAAACCCTAAGGCCAGGGGACGGACAGATGGGAACGAACACACACACACACATGCACACACACGCGCACACACACACACACACACACACACACACACACACACACACACCCCTTCCCATCCTTTTCTCTCTCCGTGTTTGGCTGTGCTTCTCTTTAAATGTGGGAATTTCCAAGAGGGTGGTGCTCCTTAAAAAGAGGCTCTTCTGGGTGGTTTACTAAGTTTCCTTTTGATCTTCTCAGAGCAGATACCTTTTTTTAAGTGTGTCTCAATTTTGTCGTTGGTTTTTCCTTTTCTTTGTCTTGGGTTTTGCTTTAATGTCTCTGTTCCAGAAATGCAGAACACTCAGAGAGCTTATTTCTATCAACACTTTCCTATTCTTCACCTAGAACCAGGTGACTGGGCCACTCAAGTGTTCTGCTCTGTGTGTGTGTTATACATTCTAGAGCCACGCAAGGAATGGAATGCGAGACGTTCCATTGGAGTCTTCTCCTTTTGGCCCTTCCTACCTTGCCCCTAGTAACCTCATGACCTTGTCCCTTAGACTAGGAGAAACTAATCCCTTCCCTGCTGTGTTCCTCCATCAGATAGACACGAGTTTAGATGCTTGTGGAGTCCATGCAATGAACCTGTTCCCAAGCCCACTTTAGCAAGGAGAGTGACGGTTGCTTGGATGTCAGCAGCCACGCAGCATCCTGAGTTGGTGGGGTGGGGATGCGGGTGGAGGGGGCTGTGCCTGTGGGGTAAGCGTTAGTGATGTGCCTCTGGGCCTCCCTTAGCTCCTGTGGGCAGTCCGGGGGTCAGGCCTAAGAAGCCTTGGTGAGCCGCTTGGAGCAGGCCCCCATAGGTCTGTAAGGTCGGGACTCCCACCTGCTTTAGTTAGCTGGTCCACCCCTACCAGCCTCAGCCAGTGCTTATGCCATCTACACAGACTGTCAGGACCGGTGCCGTCACCACTCCCTGTCGGTGGAATGTCCTTTTCTGAATTCCGGTGTGCTCGGACACTGTTCACTTGGACGCCCCAGACCAAGTCGTAGCTGCTGCTTTGTAGTGTCAGAGGCAGTGCTTACTGCCTTTGGAGAGCAGGGGCCGATGATAATCCGGGGCAGCCTGGAGGCACAGTTGGCGAAGCCTCTGGAGAAGTTGGAGGATCCCCAAAGCTTTTGGCACTTATCACTAACTGTCCTCCTCCATGTGGGTTTCTCCCATACCATAACTTCCCAAGAGCACCAAGTACCGTCCCCTATTTTATGATGTTAGGTTCAGCATCCCCAGGTGAGAAGGCCCTGCCCAAAGCACAGAGCAGACAGGGCCCCTCAAGGGTCCCAGCCCAACGTCCTTCGTTCCAGTCCCATTTCAGCCCATGGTTTAAAATAGCTTTTTAAAACTGGGAGAGCTGACAAACAGGTTTATGGTTTTCACTGTGTTTCATTTATATGCCATGAGCCATTTTTGAGCATAAGCTCGATTATCATGGTCAGACCTCTCAAACTGGAGCCTAGGTGTGTTGGGCTTCCTTGATTCTAGCCTCGGTCCCTGTTAGGAATAGGAACTCAGGAAGAGATTAGTAGAGAAGATTGGAGTGTCTCTTACACCAGTTGGGATGAATTAATCTGGAAGAGGATGAGGACTGGTGATCACTCTCCAGGGCTTTTTGCCCAAAGACCAGGTCACAGGAATTCACAATTGGTCTGGAAGATCTGTGTAGAGACAAAGCCAGAGGAGCATGGCTGCTTCCTGCTGTCCATCCTCTTCAGGCCTAATGTCGGGTGTCTGCTTCTCCTCCTGCTTCTCTCGGTTGGTTGTTAATCTCCCCTTGTGTGCTCTCTGCAGTCGATCGCATCATTGGCCTTGACCAGGTGGCCGGCATGTCTGAAACGGCTCTGCCAGGCGCCTTTAAGACCAGGAAGGGCATGTTCCGAACAGTTGGACAGCTCTATAAGGAGCAGCTCTCCAAGCTGATGGCCACCCTGAGGAACACCAACCCCAACTTTGTCCGCTGCATCATCCCCAACCATGAGAAGAAGGTAAAAAGAAGACGAGAGCATGGCCTTGGTTAGGAGGCAGAATCTTTGTGCCGTTTTATTCCTCCTGAATCCCCTTTCCAGGTCTTCCTCTGCAGACCCTTTGGGAGGCTCCCCTTGGTTCTTGGTGGAGATGCTGGACTGTAACCTATTGGTTCTGTTCCTTCTCCAGCCAAGTGATATAACTTCTGAGCCCTGCATGTGGGGCATCCCGTTGCCAGCCTGAGGGCACCCTTGGCAAGGGAACACCACCATGTCTTTTCCTTTTCCAGGCCGGCAAACTAGACCCTCACCTTGTCTTGGACCAGCTGCGCTGCAATGGCGTGTTGGAGGGAATCCGCATCTGTCGACAGGGCTTCCCCAACAGGGTCGTCTTCCAGGAGTTCCGGCAGAGGTCAGTTCGGATCAGCATCTCCTGGGGGCCATCCTTCATTTCCTGGCAGAGCCGGGGTCTGTGATTTACACGTCCTTTTTATATTTTACTCGTGAAGTCAAGGCACTTGTTATGGGACTGTAAAATATCCCTGGGAGGGTCAGCCCAGAGATGTGAGACTCAGAGGCAGACATGGCAGTGCCTCCTGATCTGTGCCCCTGAGACAGGGTTGATGCCCCAGTCATGTTGAGGAGCCTTGCTCCCTGGCATCTCTGGCGGCAGTGGAAACACTGCCCCTCTTCCAGCACTACTTTAAAAAAAATTTGTTGATAGTTCTCTGCTTCTGACACTGTCATAATTCTCCTCCTCGTGTACAGCATTTAACAGTACTTAAAGAGTGAGAAGAGTCAGCCCAAGTGATGAGTTCAGTTGATTAACACACGAAAAAGTCCACAGATGTGCGCTGTGTGACCCCTGTGGTCCTGTCTCCTCTTTCTAGCCTTTTTACTTTTTGGTCCATCATTGTTCTTTCCATTTGCGTTGTTGTGGTTACTGTTTTTGTTGCTTCCTTGGCTCTGCTGATTTCATTCCGCATCAGTTCATGTAGATCTTCTCAGGCTTCTCTGTTTTCATCGCACGTGTCACTTTTACGGCATCATAATAATCCGTTACGTGCGCGTGCCAGTTTGTTTGGCCGTTCCCCCACTGATGGGCATCTACTTTGTTTCCAGTTCTTAGCTATCCCAAAAAGTGCTGCCATAAATATCTTGGAAGCGTATGGGGACTTCCCTTTTTCCTCATCATTGTTTAAGCCCAATAGTAGAGTCTCAGGTTCAGAGTGTGGACATTAGTCACTTTATTGTTATCATTCCAAATGGCTCTCCAAAATGATTTTACCACTTCACAGCTCCACCAATAATGTATTAGTGTGCAGCACTGACTGTTGTCATTTTGGGGGGGCTGGTAATTTTTGCCAGATTGCAGAGTGTGAGATGAGACCTCACACACAAAGGATCTGTGTTTGTTTTATGACTAGTGTTTTGGAACATTCTTTTGTGGGCTTGTGAATACTTGGGAAGTTTTTTTGAGAACTGTTTGCTTACATCCTTTGACGGCTTAGCTCTTGGACGCGGTCCCTGGCCTGTAATGGGGAAGGTCACTCACCATTCCTACCCTGAGCTCTTGAATCTCAGGTGAAGCATCTGCCATATATCCTCTTACCTGACCTCTTCTGCTTCTCTTTTTTCATTGGGAGATTAAAAAAAAAATTCCTTTGCTACAGTTTGGAAAACGATGTCCATTTCGCATGTGTTTCTCACACTCTTCTGTGCTTTTCACAAGTCTCTTATGGAATGCGTTAGAAATGAACGTGAACGTTATTGATCATCAGGGCTAATGTGTCTTTCTTCTCCTTCAGATATGAGATCCTGACTCCAAATTCCATCCCTAAGGGCTTCATGGATGGAAAACAGGCGTGTGTGTTGATGGTAAGCCAGGCTGCTAATTCCTCCTCCCCTTCCTCCTCCACCCTCTCTGCAGCCGGTGTGCTCAGAATGCCAGTCAGACCATGCCCGTTTCTCATGCTGTACCCTCCTGGGAGCACCACACAGAGTGTGACCTGTGACTCAGGAGATCCTGAGCTGGGCAGCAGCTTTGGAGATCCCCTAGACTGAGAGGAGGACCCTTGAGATCAAGGACATCCAAGAGTAGTGGCTGGGATTTGAATCCACACCACCTCCCCCCCCCCCCAAGTACTCGTCTGGCTATTGCTGCTGCTGCCAGAGCTGCTACAGGGGCTTCTTATGTGTGTATGGTCTTTTCATACCTGTGGATATTCTCATTGGAGGGAAAGCAGAAGAAGCAGTTATGGAGTCAGAGGACCTAGTTCGAAATCGTGCCTCTGGCCCTGCCTGTGGGACCAGGGGCAAGTGCTTCCCCTCAGTTCTCTCCTCTCAAAGGAAGGGACTCCTTGGATGTCAACTAAAGCCTGCAGAGAAGGCTGGGCATGTAATTGTCCCCATATTACAGATAGGGGAAGTCAAATGACCAGGGAAATGATCTTGGGCAGCAGGATGGGACTGGAACACTCCGTCCCAGCCTGCCTGCCTGCCTGCCTTCCTTCCTTCCTTCCTTCCTTCCTTCCTTCCTTCCTTCCTTCCTTTCCTGCCTCCTCTTCTTCTTGCCCTCCCATCCCAGACTGACAAGTTACTTGAGAACTAAGTGGTGTCAGTAAAGGGTGTGGTCATGGCTACAATAAGGGCTACAGAAAAGGGAAGACACGAGGGGATGAAGAAGAGGAGGAGGAGGTGCCCTCCAGTTAGCTGGCAGAATGCCAGCGAGACGGCCCGTAGCGTGGGCTGCCTGCCACTGCCCTGTTCCCTCTCTGGGCCATCAACAGGACTTCCAGGGTCTGACTGCAGCTTTGAATTGGGCAGAAGTGTCCTCAGGTGCGAGGGAAGGTAGAGATTTCCCTGCGGCCTCTGCCATCATTCTCACCCTTGCTCATGTGCCCCCTACCCCGGACTAGCCGTGCCTTTCCCCCATTCTCTGCTCCTTGGCCTGCTCTCTTAGCTTTGGGGAGTCAAGGGAGGAGAAGGGGGCCCTTGGATAGGCGTGCCTGGTGAGTTGGGCGCCAGGCCTCTGGAAGCCTGGCCCTGGAGTGAAGTGTGTTCTTCTCTTGTTTAGATCAAAGCTTTGGAACTGGACAGCAATCTGTACCGCATTGGGCAGAGCAAAGTCTTCTTCCGAGCTGGGGTGCTCGCCCACCTGGAGGAGGAGAGAGACCTGAAGATCACAGACGTCATCATAGGCTTCCAGGCGTGCTGCAGGGGCTACCTGGCCAGGAAGTAAGTGGGCCCCGGGCTGGTCCCTCCCTCCCTCCCCGCTGCCCGAGGTGGGTCCGAGGCCTTTGGGACAGGAGCGGCCTGCTGAAGGGGAGCAGGCTTGGCTTAGCTCCAGGCAGGGAGGGGCGTGCGGGGACTCTGGCTGATGGGGGTTAGTGTAGTGTGGCGACTGGCAGGACTTGACTTGGGGGGGCTCCGGGTTTTACTGCCATGTGACTTGCTGCTGTTGGGGCCACGTTCATTTTCAAAAACAAGTTGGGGAAGAATTTTTACTCAAAGCAAAGCCCAATCAGTAGGATGGGCAGGTTGGGAAAGAGGCTCGAAAGGCTCCGGGAGGTCTCCAAGCATGGGACAAACCCCTTCTGAGGGGCCGTGCCACATAGCTACCATTAGAGCTCCTGGTGGGATGAGAAGTCCACTGATCTTAGACCCAGTTAGGAGTGATGCTATACGGTGGAGTCAGAGCTGGGTGGGCCCTTTCTGTGTCCTGTGTTGGACAGTCGGTCACACAGAGGCTGAGGCCGTCCTGCCGTGCTGGCCCCAAGTTCATCAGTAAGGGAGGAAGCTCAGAGCCGGTGGGTGCCATGAGGGGCCGGCCTCACTCTGTTCTCCTCTGCATAGGGCCTTCGCCAAGCGACAGCAGCAGCTCACAGCCATGAAAGTCCTCCAGCGCAACTGTGCAGCCTACTTGAAGCTCCGCAACTGGCAGTGGTGGCGCCTCTTCACCAAGGTGGGGGTTGTGGGCATGTGGGCACTGGCCCAGCCTGGGCTCAGTGATCCTCCCTGGTGGATGCTGGGAGACGCGTTCCTAGCCCTTCCTCATTGGTTCCTCCAGTATTCGGGTGGGCCCGGTTACCTGCTGTGTGCCCGGCCACACGGCGACACACACACAGTGGCCACGCTGCTTCTTGGGTGACAGAAGCGTCCCAGTGATATATCTCCAGGAGTGAGGGTGCACCCCATCCTTTGAGTCTCATTCGGTCCCTTCTGATTTGACTCTCTTTAGGTCAAGCCCCTGCTGCAAGTCAGCAGACAGGAGGAGGAGATGATGGCCAAGGAGGAGGAGCTGGTCAAAGTGAAGGAGAAGCAGCTGGCTGCAGAGAACCGACTCACGGAGATGGAGACCCTGCAGTCTCAGGTGGGCGCGCTTGCAGAGCCTCTGGGAGGGGGCCTCCTGCATGTCACCTTGATTAGAGACGAGATGGCCCGATGCACTTCCCCCAGCAGACTGGCCTGTTTGTACGCTCTGCCCGGCTAGTCCGTTGTGCCGTGCCTCCTCAGTGTCCAACTCTTTCCCACTCTGATATTTTCCCCGGTGAGCAGTTTCCCTTTTAATCCTGATACGTTGGCTCTCTTCAGGCAAGTTAGATCTTCTCTGCCAGGCATTCCAGACACCCCACACTCCCGGGGGGCGCCTGGTGACGGCCCCCTCTCGGGCGTCGTCCTTCCTCTTGGTCAGCCTCCCCTCGCTGATGCCTGGGCCCTGCGGCCAGTGCTCCGGGCAGCTCCCTCGCAGCCACTGTGGGGAGCTGATGTGGGACAACTTGGGGTCGGTTTCTGGGGGTGACATGGGGGCGCATGTCTTGGCAGCTGATGGCGGAGAAGCTTCAGCTCCAGGAGCAGCTTCAGGCCGAGACGGAGCTGTGTGCCGAGGCCGAGGAGCTGCGGGCCCGCCTGACGGCCAAGAAGCAGGAGCTGGAGGAGATCTGTCACGACTTGGAGGCCCGCGTGGAGGAGGAAGAGGAGCGCTGCCAGCACCTGCAGACGGAGAAGAAGAAGATGCAGCAGAACATCCAGGTGAGGGAGCCCGGGGGGGGGGCGTGCCCAGTGCGTGTGAACACCTACTGCACGCCAGACACACACAACGAAGAGTGTGAACTGTCCCTGCCCGCAAGGAACTTCCATTGGGAAGAAGGAACGAACGAGAGGGACCTGGTGACACTTAGGATGATGGCTAACATTCAAGTGTGTATTTGTCATTGAACCCTGGGCTGTGACATTAGGTCATAGAGTGCCAAAGCCGAGAGGGACCTTGGAGGCCATCCGAAGCCCTTCCCCCTTGTTTTACAGGGAAGGAAACTGAGCTTCTGAGAGGGAAAGGGATTTGCCCAAAGAGGCAGTAAGACAGCAGCAAAGCTGTACTCCCACCCAGCAGGTCCTAAGAGGACGGTCCTTGTCATTCATGAGGGGGATTTTTTTTAAAAAGAGGAAGAGAAAAGAGACCTGTTAGATGAACCTCCCAGTGAAGGTGGGGGAGAGTCTGGACTCTTTTACAAGGGGTCACTTCTCATAATCTGGCAGGTCAGCTCAGCAAGCCAGAGTCTTGGGCCTTCTGCTCTGGGTCCCTTCAGAAGAAGGCTCTGTGAGCTCATGCCAGGCCTCTTGTCCCAAAGCCAGGACAGCTCCTGGCCATGAAGCCCCTGGGCTGGTGCTTCCTTCACTTCATCCTGGGGCTCTTTGCAGGAACTAGAGGAGCAGCTGGAGGAAGAGGAGAGTGCGAGGCAGAAGCTGCAGCTGGAGAAGGTGACCACAGAAGCCAAGCTGAAGAAGCTCGAAGAAGATCAGATCATCCTAGAAGACCAGAACTGCAAACTCGCCAAGGTGAGCGGCCCAGCGCTGTGCCTGAGTAGTGCTAGGAGACGGGGAGGCGGGCTGTGGCCGTCGCTGCAGGACTGACCTAGTGGCTGGTCCAGGGGTGGTCTCTGAAGACAAGCGTGAGACGGACCCATTGCACAGAGAGGACAATTAAGGCCTCACTTAGTCCATGAGACGGGAGTGGTTCTGTAGCCAGCAGAGCCCCAGCCCCACCCAGCTGGAGCAGCATGGTCAGGGCTGGGGGCCTGCTGTGCGCATGGCTCAGGAGGAGAAGGGGAAACTGGGCTGGCCTGCGCTGGACAGCCACCTTCAGCTACGTGAAAGGGCTTAGCCTTGTTCTGCTGCTGCCGTGGGCAGAGCCAGGAGCTCTGGGGGCCTTCCAGAGAAAGGTGCTCCCCTCCTGGGAGGCCTGGACTCCCCTGTGCCTTGGGCCTCACTGGGCAGGTTTCCTCCAGGAATTCTGAGGCCTAGAATATGGTGGCTCACAGGCTTTGGCCCAAGGTGGTTCTGCAGTGAGCCCATGCTTCCATGTGGCCCTTTGCAGGAGAAGAAGCTGTTGGAGGACAGAATCTCGGAGTTCACCACCAACCTCACAGAAGAGGAGGAGAAGTCCAAGAGTCTGGCCAAGCTGAGGAACAAGCATGAGGCCATGATCACGGACCTGGAAGGTGAGTCCAGGAGGAGCTGGGGGTGCGGTCATCCGGGCAACCGGGCCTTGTGTCCTCCCTCTGAGAGTCCTTTGCTCCTGGAGCAGAAGAGGCGGTGGTGGAGATGGAGAGCAGAAGACGTCACCTCACACCTTCTCTCCCTGGTGGGGTGGTCCCCTAACCCACTGGGGTCTTTGTTTCCTAATTTGTAAATTAGAAATAATGATACTCGCCCTCCCTGGCAGCCGTGTTAAAACACCCCCTGAGCACGAGCATTCGTATCATCCTGTCCAACACACAGGGCTGCTCTGTGGTTTTCATGAGGGTCAGGAGGGGGCTGTTTTCTGCCTGAGGGTCCTGTCTGGGCCCCCCCAGAGCCTGCCAGGCACGCGCCTCTTTGGCCATGAGCCTCGTGGCCTGCGGTCTCGGGTTGGAGCGTCCCAGAATGAGCCGTCGGTCCCTCTCCTCGCTCCTCAGAACGCCTGCGCAGAGAGGAGAAGCAACGGCAGGAGCTGGAGAAGACCCGGCGGAAGCTGGAGGGAGATTCCACGGACTTGAACGACCAGATCGCAGAGCTGCAGGCGCAGATCGCAGAGCTCAAGATGCAGCTGGCCAAGAAGGAAGAGGAGCTCCAGGCTGCCCTGGCCAGGTGAAGCTCGAGTGCACGCGGCAGCCCCACAGAGCCTTGTCCCCGGGCTGTACTGTAGATTGAAGTACAGTCAGCAAGTGGCCCTAAATAGCGATTACAAGGGACTGAGGAGGAGGAGGAGGAGAGGCCTCAGAGGAGGAGGAAGGCACCCCCGAGTTGGACCAGAAAGGAAGGAGGAGGGGAATCAAGCAGGCAGACGCGGGACGCTGGGGGGAGGGGGTCCTTTTAGACCCAGAGACAAGAGGATCGGACCAGTGTGGGTAAGGGGAGTCTTGTTGGCCAGGACAGAGTGGCTGGGTCAGGGGAAGGGGAATGGCACAGGGTGCCAAGGCTAGCCTTTATGTAGGAAAGGCTGAGTCCCAGCCCTGAAATTGGGGGTCTGTCTTTGGAGCATGAAGTGGATGCTGGTCTCTGCCATCTCACTGTGGTGTCTTGGGGCTGTCTTATTGAGGTGTGACCAGGCCTCTCCCGGGGGCTCCTGCAGCAGAAGGGTGCCCCGGCCCTGACGTGCTGCTGCCCTGCTCTCTTGCAGAGTGGAGGAGGAGGCGGCCCAGAAGAATCTGGCCCTGAAGAAGATCCGCGAGCTGGAATCCCAGATCTCTGAGCTGCAGGAAGACCTGGAGTCCGAGCGGGCTTCCCGGAACAAGGCTGAGAAACAGAAGCGGGATCTGGGCGAGGAGTTGGAGGCTCTGAAAACTGAGCTGGAGGACACCCTGGATTCCACCGCCGCCCAACAGGAGCTCAGGTGGGCAGAGTGGTCTTAGCTCTGTGCTCGCTAAGGCCAGGCGGTGCCTCCCACATGTCAGCGAGTGTGCGCTGGGGCGTGGGAGGGGCGTCCAGGGCAGCAGGGGTCCCCTCTACAGGTCTTCCTTAGGAAGAGACAATAATGGGACGGACCTTTCTCTGCCCAGGTCAAAGCGGGAACAGGAAGTAAACATTCTGAAGAAGACCCTTGATGATGAGGCAAAGACCCACGAGGCCCAGATCCAGGAGATGAGGCAGAAACACTCCCAGGCCGTGGAGGAGCTGGCCGAGCAGCTGGAGCAAACCAAACGGGTATGAGGATTCTGGGCGGCTGGGTGCACCTTAGATCCCCCATACCTTACCTATGAGAAACCAGGGTCCCAGGGAGGTGAGGTCAGGGCCGCGTCGGTGCCCCGGCCTGTGCTTCCAGACAGAGCAGTGCTCCCTCCCACTGCCCTGCTGGCTGTATTTAAAGGTGGCTCCGCAGGGTGGCACCAGGGGCCTCAGATGGGAGGGCAGCCTTCCTGGAGTGAGATTCAGCTGAAAACTGGGCGCCTGCTGTGCTGGGCCCTGCTCAGGGAGGGTGGGCACCCATGGTGGTCAGCCTCTCGTGAGGCCTTGGAAGCCCTTCAGTGCTCTGATTGCACCACGTTTATTCAGGAAGGCTTTTGGAGCACTTCAGGCCTGCCGCCCTCCAGGCAGCCCATCCATCCTCCTGACTCTTCTCCTGCCCTCCCCAGGTAAAAGCCAACCTGGAGAAAGCCAAGCAGGCACTGGAGAATGAGCGGGCGGAGCTCTCCAACGAGGTGAAGGCCCTTCTGCAGGGCAAAGGGGACTCAGAGCACAAGCGTAAGAAGGTGGAGACGCAGCTCCAGGAGCTGCAGGTGAAGCTCACCGAAGGCGAGCGGGTGCGGACGGAGCTGGCCGACAAGGTCACCAAGCTGCAGGTGGGTCTGCCCCCCGGGGCCAGTGGGGGCCCGGCTCTGCTCCTTGCCCTCGGCCTGCCCGATTCTCAGCCTCCCTCACTGCCCTTTGCAAACACGTTCACCTCCCTCCGCCTCCCTTCAAGCTGTGCTTCTGTGTCTCCAGGAAAAAGCTCTTTACCCTTTTCCTCACACTGAGACTGCTCCAAGGTCACCATCATCCCTTTTTTCCTAAATTCAGAGGCCTTTCCTTGTCTTTTGGCTCTGCCGAGCACTCCCTTCCTGCCCCAACATATGGGTGTCCCCCAAGCCTCTCTGGGGCCCTTACCTCTCTCTGCGACCTCTAATCTCTGTGCTGGTGACTCCTAGATGGACTTGTCCCACATCTGTGGCTGCCTGCTTCTTACCCCACCCCATCCACCCCTCACTCTGCCCACCCCTCTAGCTGGCAAGTTCCTTCCCACTCTGTCCAGTGTGCCCTGCCCTCACCTTATTTCAGGGCCTTCTCATTCTCTTCGTCTCACACCATCCCATGCAGTTGCCAAAAGGCAGTTCCTAATGCCTGGTTCTGCCTATCAGTGACTTCCTCTTACGACTCAGGGAAGAGACAGATACCCATGCTTGGCACTGAAGGCCGGCCACCACCCCCACCCCTGGTCTCCTGCAGCTCAGGAGTGAGCGTGATATGCAGGGCCAGGCTGATCCAGGCCGGAATGCTCTCCATCCTTGCCTTTTAGAGGGCTTTCTTAATTTCCCAAGTTGTCCTGTCCTGCACACTAGCTTGTACTTTGGGGGTGCTCAGCCGTGAGCAAACTGTACCCCTGGAGGGTAGGGACAGTGCCAGGCACAGAGCAGATGCACAATAAACGCTGGTTATGCTGTGTTTGGTGTTAGGCCGGCCTCAAATCCCACTTCTGACACATCCTGGCTATATGTCACCCGGGGCATCGAGATAGGGAGTTTATATCCTAGGACTCCTGTCCCCCAGGGGAGCTCCAGGATGTGACTCTTCTCCCTCCCACCCCTGTGAAGGAACTTTTTTCTCCGGTGGGGAAAGAAAAGAAAAGCAAGGCCCCTGTGACAAATGGGCATACTGAGGCACAGCTCATTTCTACATTGGCCACATCCAAACACGTGGGATATTAAAGGAACTTGGAATGGCCTTTGGTGGGCACTTTGCTTTGACCCGCTGGTGGCCCTCAAGGAGAGCGTTGCCTTTGGGAGGTTTTGTTCCTGGCATTTGTGCTGGGTGACTGGGCTGGGCACTCACTGGGCACCTTCTCTTGCATGGCAGGTTGAGCTGGACAACATCACGGGCCTCCTTAATCAGTCTGACAGCAAGTCCAGCAAGCTGGCCAAAGACTTCTCTGCTTTGGAGTCTCAGCTTCAAGACACACAGGTGAGTGGGGGGGCGGGCTCACGCGCATGCCCTCGACATCCTCACTTCCCACCTGATGAGGGGGGGAGGCAGGGCTGGGGCAGGGCCTGTCCTTTCTCCTCACCAGGTCACTTGGAGGTCACCTTGACTGGCTGCCTGGAGAGCTCTAGGCCATGGGGCCCTGGAGGGCAGATCCATGAAGCTCTCGGTGCCCAGATAAAATGGGGAGCAGGTGCTGATCTGCCTCCCTACTGAAACCCTAGCTCTGGCCCTCTCCCTGCCAGTGAACTTCCCCTGAGTGCAGATTTATCATGGAGAGCAGAGCATGGGAGCCACTGTGGCCTGTCTCTCCATGTCTATAGGAGCTGCTGCAGGAGGAGACTCGTCAGAAGCTGAGCCTGAGTACCAAACTGAAGCAGACGGAGGATGAGAAGGGCACCCTGAGGGAGCAGCTGGAGGAGGAAGAAGAGGCCAAGAGGAGCCTGGAAAAGCAAATCGCCACCCTCCATGCCCAGGTATAGGATGCCAAGGCCAGAGGAGGGAGGGCAAGGGTCCGGGGAGACCTGCCACCCTCTGCTCCCCCATGGAGCTGTGATTGTCTTCCCAGCCCCCATCGCCCACCCCAAGGGGAGCCTGTTGACCTGTAAACCATAGGTCCCTGCCCCCCAGGAGCCAGCTCTAAGAGGCCCGCTTCTCCCCTTGGGAGGGCCTGAGAGCTGCCATCACCCTTGTCTTGGACTGGGTGGGATTTTGTTGGTTTGTTTCTAAAGTTAGAAAAGGGACTGCCCTGTGCCCAGGGAGAAAGAAGCCAGCTTTCCATTATGCACCAGCCCCCTAGCCCTGGCCCTAGTGGCCAGCCGTGATGTGAAACCAGGTGGTAAGAAATGACATCGGGCAAGTGCCAGCCTCAGCCCCCTCGGCCATTGGCAAAGGTTGGTCTCTGGCTCCTTCTAGCCCTGACTCAGGTGAAGAGATTCAGTGCTAGGTGAGAGTCAGGCCATGTGGACTGTAAGGAATCTTGGCCCTGGAACCCTGTGTCGGGGCTTCACAGACCAGGATGTCCTGAAGGCTCAGCCTTCCCTGGGGCTGTGATCCCAACCCTGGCGCAGGCCAGCCTCGGAGCATGGGCATGAGCACGCTGATCACACGTGTGTGCGTGTGCCTGCCCACAGGTGGCCGACATGAAGAAGAAGATGGACGATGGTGTGGGCTGCCTGGAGTCAGTGGAGGAAGCCAAGAGGAGGCTCCAGAAGGACCTGGAGGGGGTGAGCCAGCGCTACGAGGAGAAGGCCGCAGCTTACGACAAGCTGGAGAAGACGAAGACGCGGCTGCAGCAGGAGCTGGATGACCTCCTCGTCGACCTGGATCACCAGAGGCAGATCGTCTCCAACCTGGAGAAGAAGCAGAAGAAGTTTGACCAGGTGAGTGTGGCGGCCCCCTGCGGGAAGGGGGGGCACCGTCCACCTGGGGCCTGCGAGGCGCTGACGGCCTCTCCTCCCCCAGCTCCTGGCGGAGGAGAAGACCATCTCGGCCAAGTACGCGGAGGAGCGCGACCGGGCCGAGGCCGAGGCGCGGGAGAAGGAGACCAAGGCCTTGTCTCTGGCCCGGGCCCTGGAAGAAGCCATCGAGCAGAAGGCCGAGCTGGAGCGTCTCAACAAGCAGTTCCGGGCAGAGATGGAGGACCTGATGAGCTCCAAGGATGACGTCGGCAAGAGCGTGAGTCGCTGGGCTGCGGGGCCCGGCTCCACAGCAGACAGAAGGGATGACGGCGGGGGGCCAGGGTGCTGTGCCGTTCTGCTGTAGGGAGGCCTGTTTCCTATGGGGAAGTCACTGTCTATGCAGTCATAAACCTCCAGGCCCTGACTTGGGCTCTGCTTCGGTCTGACTGCCGCAGCCCCACCATTCCAGCCCATCCCGCCTCCCAAATGAGTGTCAGGGTGTGAGCAGATGGTGCACTGGAAGCCAGTGGCGGGGCGGTGATTTGGGGGCCACGGTCTGAGAGCTGAATCCCAGCGGTGACCACTGCGCAGATGTGTCTGAGCTGAGTCAGTGACCTGAGAGCAGTGGGTGTCCCTTACTGCTTTGGTCACCTTGACGTGGGCTTCCTGGGGGCGGGGAGGTACTCAGGCCACACCCTTGGCCCGCAGGTCCACGAGCTGGAGAAGTCCAAGCGGGCACTGGAGCAGCAGGTGGAGGAGATGAAGACCCAGCTGGAGGAGCTGGAGGACGAGCTGCAGGCCACCGAGGATGCCAAGCTGCGGCTCGAGGTCAACCTGCAGGCGCTCAAGGCCCAGTTTGAACGGGATCTCCAGGGTCGCGATGAGCAGAGTGAGGAGAAGAAGAAGCAGCTGGTCCGACAGGTGAGGCTTCCCTGCCCCATCCAAAGGCATTTTGGAATCTGGGCCCCGGGTTCAAATTCCAGCGTCTGCTCTAGCTTCCTGGGGGGCCTAGGATGAGGCGCTCGGTCTCTGGGGTCTTTGCTTTCTCCTCCCATTCAATGGGAAGAGCCCTGCTACCTCCTGTAACAGGCCAGGTGCGAGGCGCTGGCAAAGATCCCCTCTTCTGGAGGCCTTTCTTGTTCTTTGTGGCCCCATCCCTCAGGTTTTCCGTTGTGGCAGATGGGGGCCCTGCCCCATCACTTCCCAGCTTGGCATCCTCCCCCCAAGAGCTGAGGTTGCCGGGGGCCTGACGTGGGCAGCACTTGCAGCCCGGCTGGCGAGGTGGAGTCTCAGCGTCTGTTCTGTGCGCCCCTCAAGGTCCGGGAGATGGAGGCTGAGCTGGAGGACGAGCGGAAGCAGCGCTCCATGGCCGTGGCCGCCAGGAAGAAGTTGGAGCTGGACCTGAAGGACCTGGAGGCCCACATTGACTCGGCCAACAAGAGCCGCGACGAGGCCATCAAGCAGCTGCGCAAACTGCAGGTGAGGCTCCAGGCCTGGCTCCGTGCCGCCGCCCTAGCACCGGGCCACGGGCTTAGAACCGGGCCACAGGCTTGGCACTGGGCCACGGCCCTAGAACCGGGCCATGGGCTTAGAACCAGGCCACTGCCCTAGAACCGGGCCACAGGCTTAGCGCCGGGCCACGGCCCCCGCACCGAGTGTCCTCTCCCTCCTTGCCCCACAGGCCCAGATGAAGGATTACATGCGCGAGCTGGATGACACGCGGGCTTCCCGAGAGGAGATCCTGGCCCAGTCCAAGGAGAACGAGAAGAAACTCAAATCTATGGAGGCGGAGATGATCCAGCTCCAGGAGGAGCTGGCGGCTGCCGAGCGCGCCAAGCGCCAGGCCCAGCAGGAGAGAGACGAGCTGGCGGATGAGATTGCCAACAGCAGCGGCAAAGGAGCGCTGGCCCTGGAGGAGAAGCGGCGCCTGGAGGCCCGCATCGCCCAGCTGGAAGAGGAGCTGGAGGAGGAGCAGAGCAACACGGAGCTGGTCAATGACCGGCTCAAGAAAGCCAACCTCCAGGTGTGTGCCCGCACCCGGGTCCACATCTGCCCCGCTCGGGCCCCTCTCCTCGCCCCCCCCTCTCCCCAGGGCCCGCTCTGGGCTGACCCGCCTTCCCGCCTCCAGATTGACCAGATCAACACTGACCTGAACATGGAGCGCAGCCACGGCCAGAAGAACGAGAACGCACGCCAGCAGCTGGAGCGGCAGAACAAGGAGCTGAAGGTGAAACTGCAGGAGATGGAGGGCACCGTGAAGTCCAAGTACAAGGCATCCATCACCGCACTGGAGGCCAAGATCGCCCAGCTCGAGGAGCAGCTGGACAATGAGACGAAGTACTGGCCGGCAGCCGGGGGGGGGGGGGAAGGGGGGAGGGTCCTCGCCCGGGCCTTCTTGCTCACCGGCTCTCTTTCCGGGGGGACAGGGAGCGCCAGGCGGCCTGCAAGCAGGTGCGGCGGGCTGAGAAGAAGCTCAAGGACGTGATTCTGCAGGTGGACGACGAGCGGCGCAATGCCGAGCAGTACAAGGACCAGGTGGGTGCCCCTCTGTCCCCCTCCCCCCCGGCCCCCGCCGCACACCCCCGACCCCCGTGACCGCCCCGTGTCCTCGCAGGCCGACAAGGTGACCGTGCGGCTGAAGCAGCTGAAGCGGCAGCTGGAGGAGGCGAGGAGGAGGCGCAGCGCGCCAACGCGTCCCGCAGGAAGCTCCAGCGGGAGCTGGAGGACGTCACGGAGACGGCCGACGCCATGAACCGCGAAGTCAGCTCCCTCAAGAACAAGCTCAGGTGAGGCCGCTGGGCCCAGGGCGGGGGGGGGGGGTCGCCCCCAGCTCCTGAGCAGTCCTGGTGATGCCCCGCACCTCCTCTAGGCGCGGCGACCTGCCGTTTGTCGTGCCCCGCCGGGTGGCCCGCAAAGGCCCCGGAGAGTGCTCGGACGAGGAGGTGGACGGCAAGGCGGACGCCAGCGATGCCAAGGCTGCTGAATAGAAGTCCCGCCACCACTCAAGCTGGCGCCGAGCCTCCCTGTGCCCCCCCCCAGCCTGCTGTGATGGTGCCCTGTCCTGCTCCTCCCCTCCCCCTCTCGTACCTTGGTGCAGGCCCTTGGCTTCCTCTCCTGCTGCTCCTCCTCCTCTTCCTCCTCCCCTGAATCGCATACCAAAGAGCCCAGGCCTGGGGCCTCTGGCCTGACGCGGCCGCTCTCCCCCTGGAGCCCACGTGCCAGGCAGGCGTGCTGGGGACGGGGAGGGAAGGGAAGATGATTTTCTATTCATCTGTTTTTCTTCAAATCAGAGTTTTGATAGTGACAGTCCTAGGACGGTCCCTGGCACCCCTCCCCCCTCCCCCTTTGCTGTTGGCAATCACATTGGGTGACCTCACAGCCCAGACCCATGGCTGCAGACGGGAGGCCTCCAGGAGCCGCTGCCAAAGTCATCAGCCCCCTTCCTTGTTCAAGTGCAATGATCATGCTCCCACACCCGACCCCCGAGGAACCCACTGGCTTAGGGCGCTCCGTCCCCCCTCTGTCTGGCAGGGCCCCGCAGGCCTAGGGGGCGGGGGCAGGTGGAGGTGGCCCACAGCTCCCTGTGGCTTTTCCTGGTAACTCTTGGGGACCAAATCGCTTTAAGGGTTAAAGGACACCTCCTACCGAGCCTGGCTGCGGCGGTGCTGGAGGAGAGGGCCGGAGGCCCCCCCTGCCCCCTTTCTCTCCGCCCCCAGGGAAGGGGGAGCTTTAGCCTGCACAGTGTCCTGTCTCTCTCAAGAATAAAAGAAAGGTCTTGATCACTGCCTTCCCCCTGGGACCGCGGTTCTAGGGGAGCAGTCTGCGTTTTCTCCACCATACACTGGTTGCTGGATTTACCTGTATTCGTAACTGTATCATACGTGCTGCGTTACTCAGACTTACCTACCTATGAGCAAAGAAAACTTTAAAATTAAAAAAAAAATCATCAGCCCCACAGACCATGAAATATATAAAGCTATATACATCATGCCTAAGAGCTCGGAGGTCAGGTCCCAGCGGCTGTCACGGAGAAATCCAAGCCCCGCCCATTTTTTATATAAGAGAAGTGCCTTAGTGTATGTCGCAGCCGCTGTGCGTCTCAATAAAGAGCACCGTGTGCTGCAGAATGTCCACCACGCGTCCCGTGTACGTTCTTGTGTGTTGGCGTGTGGAAGGGAGAGGGTGTTGGGGGGGGGCCGCCCGGGGGCCTTGCTTCAGCCTTCCCTCCTCTCCCTGGCCGTGGGTAGTGGGGGAGGCTCCCTGAGCCCGGGGTGGGGAGGGGGAGACGAGGTGAAGGAGGGAGGGAAAAGAAGCTTTTGGGGTGGGGGGAGGGGCAGATTAGACCACACTCTTCCTTTGCGCCCCGCCCCCCTCCCCATCTTTTCTGCTTCTCTCCTCTTCATTTTGTTGCCTTGCAACCCTGAGGTGAGTGGAGCTTTAGGGACATTGTGATCCTTAAGAAAAGCGTGAAGAACTCTGTCCTGGATCTTCCCCCACCCTTTTAAATTTGAGGTCGTGGTTAGTGAAAATAAAGATGTCATTTCCCCCAGATTAGAGCAGGGAGCCCAGAGCCTGGCCCGAGGCGTGAGGAGGTCCCAGGGTCCCTGAGGAACCGAACGAGTTCTGCACAGAGGCTCAGAAGGCTTCTAGGCTGACTGCCTCATTTTACTAAGGGTGGGGTTTGAATCCAGGCCCTCCAGGGGACTTTTGCTGCACGTGTCCAGGTCCCAAAGTTACCAGAACACCAAAGTTGGCCTGGGTGACCCGGAATCCGCTCAAGCCCACTTTTTTTTTTTTTGCTTTTAAACAATTGGAGTTAAGTGACTTGCCCAGGGTCACACAGCTAGTAAGTGTCAAGTGTTTGGTCTGAGGCCACATTTGAACTCAGGTCCTCCTGACTTCAGGGCCGGTGCTCTATCCACTGCGCCACCTAGCTGCCACCTAGCTGCCCCTCAAGCCCATTATCTTAAAGCATATTTGGAGTCTTAGCCTCCTCCCGCCGTTATCAATTAAGGGAACATGAAGAAGCAGGTCCTGGCAGCCAGGCAGCTGTTTTGTCTGGGAGCAGGAGTGGGGACTCATTAGTGTGAGAGCAGGTGGGGAGGGAGGTGGTAGTTAGCGCCTCATTTCACTGGTCTCGGGCTCTGATCGTCAGTTCTTTGGGTGCGGGCCTCTGTTCCCCCAGTGCCGTCCAGCCTGTCCGCATAGCATCCTAAAATGTGCTCCAGGGATCTGGACTCCAGGCGCCCTCTGGTTAGGGGAGGGAGGCCTGCAATCAACCATTAAGTGTCTGCTGTGTACTGAGCACAGTCCGAAGTTCAAAGAAAGGTAGATAAAACCCCCCTCTGTCATCCGGTACAGGTCAGGTAAACGCCTACATGTGGCATTCCAACTGTGCCCAAGTGGAAACAGCCACGGAGAGTCTGGCCGAAGCCAAAGAAGGGACATGGGATTTTATTTGTGTTGTGAAGTCAAGGCCATTACCAAATGAGGGGTGGGGGGGGTGGGATGCATCTGAAGAAAGGGCATTTCAGTTGGGCTTCAGAGGACAGATTCATGACTTTGGGGAGGCGATGGTACTGCAGGTATAGCAGACCACTGATTGAAGGGGATGGAGGCAGGACAAGCATTTTATGAAGCACCTGCTGCGGGAGCGCTTTACACCAACCTTGAGAGGAAGGGGCTGTCATCCCCATTTTGCAGTTGAGGAAACTGAGTCAGAAGTTGTCCATCCACCTCACAAGTTAGGGTCATCGCTAGTAAGTGTCTGGGGCCAGAGCATAGAGTTTGAAGAAATAAAATTAAATCAGGCTGGAAAACTGAGGTGTGGAGACCCTTGAATGCCAAACAAAAGGGGATTTGGGCGTGGCTCGGGAAGCCATTGGACCAGAGTGGACCTGCAGTGGGGCCAGAATTATGGACAGGAATGGTGGGTCAGGAAGAGGAGGGGGGCTGGGAAACCTGGGGACTGGCCTTTCCCCTTTCCATGATGGGGGTGTTGGCCCATCATCATGCCCAGGGCACCTCTCCCTAATTCCTTTTCCCAGCTCTGCAGAAGGCATTTGGGAAGATCCAGGCGTCGTCACGCTGCCTTCTCGAGGACTTTACAGGCTAAGACCACATTCCACCTGCTGCTGCCAGAGGCTGGGCAGGCAGGTGTGGCCACTGGTCGTCTGCTTCTGAGGAAAAAGATGGGGTTGAGCAGGGAGCAAGTTAGAGGGGGAATGCCAGGGCAGTTTCAGGATGTGAGAAAGATAGGAGTAGCTCAGCTTGATGGAGAAAACCCTGAAAACTAGCTGTGTTCACCCCTTCCCCTCAGTTTATCTTACTGTTGAATGGGAGTGAATGGGACTTGATTCCAGTCCTTAAGAGTCTGTGATCCCGCGGATGTGGTTTTGGTTCCTAATGGCATTCCCTCAACTTGGACTTTCAAGGGCCTGATATGGTACCGAGGAGGGTGAGGGGCAGCCCTCGGCACCCAACTTTGGCCTATAAGCAGTAAGCATATCTAGGTGTGGGATAGAGGGGGAGAAATGGAGAGCGATAACATGCTCTCCAAAATACCCTCCCCAGGTGTGGGTTTACTGATGGGCATCCCTCTACAGGTCCTCTAGAGCATGCCTTACCTTTTTTTTTTTTGTGCTTTTTGGTGAAGCAATTGGGGTTAAGTGACTTGCCCAGGGTCACACAACCAGTAAGTGTCAGGTGTCTGAGGCTGTATTATCCACTGTGCCACCTCGCTGCCTCCAGCCATGCCATTTTTAATGCCAAAGTGAATTTATTTGGAGGGTTCACTAGACTCAAGAAAATAGCACACGTGTGAATGTGGCTGGACCACAGAGTTACAGGATGTGGTCCAGTGAGATGCTGAGTAAGGGGCCCTGCCAATCTTCATAGCTAGTATTGATAGAACTTTATTATTAAAGTCAGAACCGGAAAATTCTTTGGAGTAACAGTTCTTAACATTTTTGTATGGGTGTCGTAAATGTCTTGGCAGTCTACTGAAGCCAAATGCATAAAAATGTAAAAGTTTTGTGGACCTCAGGTAAAGAACTCCTGCAGAAGGTGAAGAGTTGGAGCACCTCTTAGAACAGGGAATGTCGGAGCTAAGAGGGAGCATAGACAGGTATGCTAGAAAAGATTGCTATAAAAATAGTGAAACTCATTAAGGAAACGAAAATCTACAAATGCGTATGCAAAGCTATGATATCCGTTAGTGCACATGATAAAGATTGTCCGTCTAGGAGGGGTGGCCATGGGCACAGTAGGCGCTGTGTTCCATGTGGCTGAAGTGAGGTGATAGAGACATGGCTGGGGTGAAGAGAAGAGAGGTCTCTGGAGGGCAGAAGGGGATGATCTGGGTGCCTGTGAGCTCCCAAGCTGTGCACACTCCCTGACTCACTCCAGAGCCCAGGGGAGCTGTGTGGAAGGGCAGGAGGAAAATTAGAGCTGGCTAGATAAGGCCTGCTGATGTGGGAGGAGCTTCATTGGAGCAGCCCAGATGGGGGCCTGATGGCACCTTGTGGGCATGATGAGCTGAGCATTCTGGCGTCATTCCCATTAGCTGGGAATCTAATTTCCAAATGGTCTCCCTACCCGCCTCCCAATCAGGCCCTTCACTTGATGAGAGGAGTGGGGCTAGGTGCGGGGGGAAGAAGGGTTTGAGGCAGAGCCTGCATCTCTTCCGTCTCCTGGCCCTTGATTTCACAGCACCCTCCAATGTTTGAGCTGGAAGGGACTGGAGAGAGACTGTGGTCCTATCCCAGCTTTGTTCCAGAGGACCTCTATGTCCCTCTCCTTTGGAAGATGCTTACAGAGGGATGTGTAGACCTGATAGGGCCTTAGAGACAAACTAGGCCAACGCCCTTATTTTATAGATGAGGAAACAGAGATCGAAGTCTGGGGACAACACCTCCCCTCCTCTCTCCCCCACCCTGCCAATTTCTGACATTCCCTGTTCTAAGGCTCTGCCCAGCTCTGACATTCCCTATCCTAAGGGACCTCCCAGCCCTGACATCCTCTGTTCTAAGGCCCCTCCCAGCTCTGATATTCCCTGTTCTAAGGGCCCTCTCAGCCCTAACATTCCTTGTTCTAAGGTCCCTCCCAGTTTCATTCCCTATTTTAAAGTCACTCTTGGCTCTGACATTCTGTGTTATCAGTTTTCTCTTAAGGGACAAAGGAGAAAGAAGGGCCCCTCTGACCCCAGGACATCTCCTCATCCTCACAACATGCTTATTTTGCGCAGTCTGGACCGTTCCTCCTGTTTTACCACAGGAAGATGTCTGGCGACCTGGGCTGTATTTTCTCACAGGCGCAGGGTCATGACAAGGGGCTCCCATCCTTACTCTGGCCCCTGGAATAAATCATGGCTAGGCAGGGTCAACAACGAACAGGGATCATTGTGGAGTTGAAAGTGGCTAGCTGCAAATTCAGGAATGTCTGCACTCAAATCCCACTGCTAAGTAATTTAAATTTTAAAAATGGAGTAACTTGATATCTCTGAGTCTAACCCTAGGTCAAACCCACCTAACAATGGATGGCCTTGGGAGCTGGTGGGTTCCCCTCACTGGTGGCCTTCAAGCAAAGAGTGGTCTGAACTGTGGGAGTGAAGATCCCTCTTCTAGTATGAGTGGACTGGAAGGCCATTGAGCTCCCTTCCAACTCAGAAGTTTTGTGGTTCTGTGAAGACTTTATGGATGGAGTGGCTTCTGAGTTGGATCTTAAAGGAAGGCAGACTTACTAGCTGTGTGACTCTGGGCAAGTCACTTAACCCCAATTGCCTCACAAAAAAAACATAAAACAAAAGAAGGCAGAGGCAGAAAAAAATGGGGGACAAAGAGTACTCTTGTAATAGGGGATGTCTGCCCCAAGCATATGAAGACTTCCCTGGTGGAACGTGCTGATGAGAACAAGTTGTTCCAACGGCCATGAAGGTGGCCGAATAAGGTGCTGTGAAGTGCATGGAGCCCTTGGAGCTTGGCTAAGCATCGGAGATGCCAAAGTCCTCCACTGCATCCTGGGCCATCGACAACATCCTGACTTTCGCCTTGATAACTCTGGAGAGTTCATACAAAGCTACCCAACCAGGCATCCTCCTTCATCATTTAAAAGGATCATCCATGGCATTGAATCTCAGAACCAGTAGGGAGTTTAGGCACCATTTAGCTAGGCCTCATTTTACAAAGGCCGGAGAGGACCGGTACCTCTCTCAAGGTCAGCAGCAGAGCCCGGAGCTAGTTCCGAGCCTCCACATTCCTAATTCTGTGACACTTACGCTCCGTATCTATCTGCCTCATGCTGCGTGTGTCCACTAGATGGAGATCTGAACTTGAGAATTGAAGCATTAGGCTCCCTAATTTGTTAATGGAGAGGAGAATTCTTTGGTCTACAAGGTCATGGCTGGAAGCCTCACGGAAAGTAGAAGCATGGATTCTGCAGCAACGGATCCACTCTTGCAAGAGACTTAAAGACCAGAGGATTCAGAAGTGGAAGAGGCCCTAGACACCATTTCACCAATGATCCGGCCCAGACAAGGGAAGGTATGTGCCTTTACTAGTCCACGGCCAGTGAAACAGCAGAACCAAACTTCCAACCCAGACCCTCTAACTCCAAAATCCAATGTTCTTCACAACACGCCACTGTCCTTGTGACCTGAGCCAATTCCCCACCCCAAACCACCATTGTTGTTACTAGTGTTGCTGTTCCCAGGAAGCCACCACAAAGGAAGAACATGTATGTCTCTGGCACGTCCTAGAATGCAAGCTCCCTCAGGGCAGGGATCGTTTCCACTTTGTTTCTATAACCCTGGTGCATAGCATAGTGATTGGCAGGCAATGGGCAACAAGCATTTATTAAGCACTTACTGTATGCCAGGCACTGGGCAAAGCGCTAGGGATACAAATAGAAGCAAAAAGACAATTCCTGCCCTCAAGGGTCTTCCATTCCAATAGAGGAAGACAGCACATATAGAGAGCTGGAAAGAGGGTGGGGAAGAGAAGACATCCTCTCCGTGATGCTGGGTCATGGTGCTGAAGTCTGGAGAAACCGAAGAGCAGCCAGGAGGGGAATGGATCAAAGCCAGTCCATGATAAATGCTTGATGATCGACTAATTGGTAATGATCACGGGATCATAGGTTTAGGATCTTGACGGTCATCCGGTCCAACCCCCTTATTTTGCAGATGAGGAAACTGAGGCCCACGAGAAGCTAAATGACTTGCCCAGGGACACACAGCTAGCAAGTATCTGAGGCAGGTCTTCCTGACACGAAGTTGAGTTCTCTGTCTATTATACCAATTCAGCTCTCAGTCTATCCACAACTGTTAAGTACAGACGGCAAGATGGTGCTATGGACAGAGCACTGAGAGTGAAGGGAATTGGCAACACGAGTTCAAATCTAGCCTCAGAGACTTACTAGTTGTGTGACTCTGTGCAAGTCACTATACTTCTGGTTGTCTCAGTTTCCTCAACTGTGTAATGGGGATAATAATAGCTAGCACCCACTTCCCAGGGTTGTTGAGAGGATCAAATGAAATATTATTTGTAAAGTGCTTAGCCCAGTGCCTGGCACATACTAGGCACTACCATTATTGTTATTATTATTATTTGAATTCTAAGTACTAAGCACTGGGTATAAAAGAACAAAAACAAAAAAACTTCCTGTCTTCAAGGAGCCAGAAGTATGATTAGTGGTGGCAGTGGAATGTATCTCCAGTTTCTACGATTTTTACTGTGTTGTCTTATTCTATCCCATATCTTTCTGTGTATGTAGATGTGATGAATGGGAAAGGCACCTTTCGTGATCTTATCGGCCCCAGTGTATGAATGGCCTCGCTCCCCAAGCTGTCCTCGAGATTCATTTTGCAGACATTCGCCCTCCACCAGTTTTCTAGCACCTCTGTTGTTGTCTATGCAGTAAGGGTGATCCCAGGAGTTGGCCGTGTACATTGGCCTTTTGCCAAAGGGCATGGGCTGCATGTTGCTGGGTTGAGTAAGTAGCTCTGTATTGCCCTCTGTGGCTAGGGGTGCCCTAGAGTCAGAAAGAATGGAACACCGAGCATCATGGAGGATGGGCTCTTGTGGAAAAATACACTGTGCCCTCCACCCCAAGTTAGGCTATTAAAGGAACTCCTTGCCACTTTGGGAGGGTTCCAGCACAGGCTCTTCATTAGATTTCCAGCAAATGAGGAGGAAATTTCTCATTCCTTATTCTTCTCATTGTCCCTTGCTCCCCACCCCCTATCCCTGTGACTACAGCACCAGGACATAGCGATCGGCATGTGCTTCTGGGGGTGAGCCTGAGTCCCTGGCTGCTGTCTTTCTCTCTCTGTGTTTCTTCCCTAAACACAGGTCTTGTCACCAGTAACCAATGATCTTCAGAGAGGAATGTTTCCAGCTACTTCCTGAATTCAAAAGTTCCTAGCCTTGTAAATTGGTGCTAGCTAACTATCTAGTGGGAAATGATTACCTTAAGAACACGTTTCTCAGGGAAAGTGCCACCAACAGAAAGATGCTGCAGCCGAAGGACTAAGAAAGCCCAAAACATATCCTGGCTGCCCAGAAGACCTGGACCTTGTGACTGACCTCTGCTTGGACAGTGCAGGTCTGAGGCAAAATGTAAATGTCTGTTCAGCAGTCTCACAAAGTACCTTTGCCTTTCATGAGGGTATAGTAGCACCTATTGAGGGGTTATTGTTGTTATTGAGGGTATCATAGCATCTCTCTTGAGGGGTTATTGTTTTATGTTTTAAATATGCGTTGATATGTGCCTCTCAGTTTGGGGGTTTAAGTATTTCTTTGACGGTGGAGGAGATAAATGGCTGTCCCATAGTTGATAACTATTTTATGCGTTAAGTAAAATCTTCTGAGAAAAGTTGTTAATCCTTTTAGGGGAGAATTCTCTGGAGTTCTAATCTAGGGTAGGGGCAAGAAGACAGATAATGACCTCTCTTTGGGTGGGTCAGGCTTTCCCAGGAAGGAATCCCGTCTATGGGAGTCCAGAACCCTTCGTGGGAGGAGTTCCCTGGGCCACTGGTCACTTCTAAAGAAGAGCACACGAGTACTGAAATCTGCAGGCTCTCAGTAACCACGGATTGATTCTGGGTCCTCAGCGCTCCCTGGAATCTCATAGCCAGAGAGATCAGATCAGCCAAACATCTTTGTTTCACACAAAGACACAGAATTTGAGATTTGAAAAGGGACCTCAGAGACAGTCCAACTAGTACCTGAACACCCCCACCCCCACACACATCTTCTTTGACATCCCTGATAAGTCGTGTTCCAGCCTCTGCTGAAAGGTTTCCAGGGATGGGGAAACTCACTACCTGCAGAGACAGCTCATGCCACTTTGGCATCTTTCTCATTTTTAGGGAGATTTCCCCCTATATAACAGGGACGATAATCTGGACTTGGCTCTGCTCACCCCCCTCCACAATCATAGGTATTTCATTTTACGGAGAAGGAAACTGAGGTCCAGAGAAATGAAGTGGTTTGCCCAAAGTCCCACACCCAGCAAATGTAAAGGGAATACAGCCCTTCCAAGCATGCACTGTATGTAGAGTGGATGCAGTCTCCACGTAGACCTTGGAGCAAGTGCAAATGTTTGGTTACTGGTTCTGGCTCATGGGCTAGGTTGAAGTCCCTGCTGACCAGCTGGGCCAGCACAGCTCTGGGGCCCAGCCCAGCAGGAGACTGTTGCGCTTCTGCCCCCCGGAACCCCCATGCCCAGCCCCACAAGGAATGGCTCTGTCCATTGATTAGGCTGAATTCAGAAGTCAGCTTAGTGGGGCCAACACTCTGCAGCAACCGCCTTAAATCTGAGCCGATACTTCCTGAGACCAAGGCAGCATTAAGAGAGAGTGTGCTCGGGCAGCTGGGTGGTGCAGTGGATAGAGCACCAGGCCTGGAGTCAGGAGGACCTGAATTCAAATCTGGCCTCAGACCAGACACTTGACATTTACTAGCTGTGTGATCCTGGGCAAGTCGCTTAACTTGCCTCACCGAAAAAAAAAGAAAAAGAGAGAGAGAGAGAGAGAGAAAGAGTACACTCCCAGGCACTGGGGAAGAAACTTCAGTACTTCTTTTCTTGCTATGTATTCTCAGTAAATATCCTTTTGTAAAAGCAAATTGTGGACAGCTAGGTGGCTCTGTAGATAGAGTGCTGGGCCTGGGGTGAGGAAGATCTGAGTTCAAATCTGTCCTCAGACACTTCCTAGCCGTGTGACCCTTGATAAGTCACTTCACCCTGTTGGCCTCAGTCTCCTCATCGGAAAACAAGTTAGAGAAGGAAATGCCCAACCCCTCCAGTATCTCTGCCAAGAAAACCCCGCGGACAAAATCCAAAGGGTCATGCAGAGTAGAACGTGACTGAACAATAACAAAAGCTAGTTGATAGTAATTGGTTAAATGGCGCCAGGCATTAATCAGTGGCTTCCACTAGAATGGGGCCTCCAGCCCCTGGCATTGCTCCAGCCCTTTTGAGGGCATTCCTAAGGCCCCAACATGGCAGATGTCACCTCGCCTGAGGCCCCAGCCTGTCAGTGTGAATGGGATGAGAATGCAGGAGAGATTCCAGGGGCTCTATCAGAGCTGAGATTTGAAGCCAGGTCCTCAGACTCAGAACAGCCCTCTTCTCATTGTACAATACTGCTTCCCATTAAAAGGCTTTGATAGGTCCTTTTAAAGATCCCATGAAGTAGACTTGGCCCTCCAAAGCTCACGCTCCAAGCTCTTGCCCTCTGATCCTTTCGATTAAGTTCTTAAGCCGCTTTTTACAGTCTCCAACATGGCGGGTCATTTCATGACCCTGAAGCAAAGTTTATTGCTACCTAAATGTTAACTCGAGGACAAGGACAACAACAATAACGAATAGGGGAGAGCCCATTTTATTCTACCGATGCCATAAAATGGGATTAAGTGGTTTCTTGCTAGGAGTCTCCTTGAGGTCTGTCCAGACTCCACGGCAGTCGGTGCTTGCCATGGTGCCAGCTGCCACCCAGTGGGCCTATAGACTCAAATAACAAAGAATCTGGCATCCTACTCATTTTTTTTTCTCTTCTTTTTCTCTTCTTCTTTTTTCACTTGAACATCTACAGGATGGGGGTAGGTTATCCCTGCCTTTCTTCTCTTTCTCTGTTACCCATTCTGTGATTTGTTACTCCCCTGCAAAGACTTCATAACATCCATCCCAGATACAGTTCCTTCTTGTTGCCAAGAGTCAGACAGAGAAGAGCAATTTCCCCCATTGTTTGCTCAACCATTTGAAACATGATATTATTATTGGCAAGTCAAGAAATTATTAGCTTGAGGGAGGAAGAGAGAGACAGATGGAGACAGACGGAGAGATAAAGAGTGGGCCAGGTCTACTAAGGGGGAAGCTTTTCCTAGTTCAGTGGCCAATCAAGGCAAGGATGATGCCAAGAGTTCGTGAGGATGCTAGCGCCATTAGCAGAAACAGATGTAAAAATGAAGGATGGTATGGCGGTTCTCAGTGTTACGATCTCATTCTTCCCTGGCATTTTAGCCCTTAAGATCCCTCAGCTTGGCCTAGAAAGCTTTATGAGCGTGGCCTCTGGTGACAGATTGGCCACTCAAGTCAGCCCAGAAATGATGGCTCTGGGCTCCTAGGCTCCTGTTAATTATTCATCTGGTAGTTAGAAGATGCAGCAAATGCCTCTTTCAGAGCTGACCTTCCCTCTCCACCCTCCTTTCCCCTTCACCCTTGCCCTCATGTCTAACCTTCTAGAAATGACAATAGTCCATTAGCTGGGAAATAGCCCTGGAGAGTTAGGAAGGCTTAGGGTAGGAGTTCTGTGAGTTGTTATGTATGTATGTGTATATATACACACTATTAAATTATATTATGTATTATATTGTGTATAATATAATATGTATGTATCATATATGTATATATACACACTATTAAAATTCTATATCTAGAAATATACATAGACACATATACATAAATATAACAATATATACAGTTTAAAGCTATTAAATTATTAAATATAGTACTATATTTATTTTATATAATATTATATTACATTTATTTTACATCTAAATAATATTTATAATAGTATTCTATTTATTTATATAAATTATATTATTAAATATAATAATTCATGTACAGTTTACAACTATTAACTATATATTAACTATATTATATATTAAATTTAAAATGAACTAGATACCTACATTTCAATATAATCAGTCCCCTTTGCATTTTATTTTATGCACTTAAAAACTGAGAAAGGGTCTATATGCTCTACCTTACCAGACTGCCAAAGGGGCCAGGTGAAAAACTCCTGCCTCAGGACCATGGGGAGTAGGTTGTCCCAGGCTGGAAGGTACAAAAGTATTCTGTTCCGAATGCTCAGACTGCGCTCAGCTCTGGGACTGCAGGAGAGGGAGAAAATACATGACCCCTGCCGAGAATCAGTTTCCAGTCTAGATAATAATAATCATAACAACAATAACAACGACAGCTAGTATTTATATAGTACCTTAAGGTTTATAATGCCCTTTACAGATGTTATATCATTTTTTATTACAATAAACCTGAAAAGTAGGTGCTATTATTATCCCCATTTTACAGATGAGGAAACAGAGGCAGATGGAGGTGAAGTAGCTTGCTCACAGCTAGTAAGTGTTTGAGGCTGGATTTGAACTCAGGCCAAAACAAACATCAGGGGGAAAACTGTAATAAAAATGATCATTATACTTCTCATTTGTATACCAATTTCTGTTTCTAGAACATCTCCTCTGCCTTATTTCACGTGGTTTTTACAACAGTCCAGGGAGACAGCCAGGACAGAGACTTCTGCATTTTTGGTAGGGAAGCAAGTGAGAGTCAGAAAGGTTAAGTAAGTTTTCCAGAGTTATGCAGCAAATAAGTGGGTTGACCTGAGCTTAAATAAAAGCAACCAGTCAACGTGTATTAAGCACCTATTACATGCTAGGCACTATGCTAAGTGCTGGGGATGCAAAAGGAGGCAGAATTGGGCACTGATCAATCAATCAATAAACATTTGTTAAGTACCTACTATGTGCTAGGCATACTGTGGTAAGTGTCGGGGATACAAGAAAAGAGACAAAAGGCAGTCAGAGAAAATCCCCAGAGCAGACAGATACATACATGAACAAGAGTTCATGGAACTGCCAGGAGGCTAGTGTCACTAGATCAGAGAGCATGCATCAGAAGTAAGGTGGAAGAAGACTAGAAAGGTGGCAGGAGGATTGGTTGGGAAGGTCTTTGAAACCCAAACAGAGGACTGGACCTGGAAAAAAAATAATTTACATGGCTGAATATAGGATGGACTGGAGCGGGGGAAACTTGAGGCAGGCAGACTCCCCAGCAGCTATTGCAATAGTCCAGGTGTGAGAGGATGCAGACCTGCACAATGTCAGAGGAGAGAAGGGGGTGTATCTGACAGATGCTGCCGAGGTGAAGTCAATAGAACTTGACAACAGATTGGATGTGGAAGGTGAGAGAGAGTGAGGAGTCCAGGATGACTCCTAGATTGTGTGTCTGAGGGACTGGGAAGATGCTGTTGTCCTTCATATAAATAGATGGGTAAGGGGAGGGTTGAGGGGGAAAAACAGTGAATTCAGTTTTGAATATCTTGAATTTAAGATGTCTTCTGGACTCCAGTTCAACATGTCTGAAAGACATTTGGAGATGCAAGATGGAGATCAGCAGGAAGGTTAGTGTAGGAAATGTAGATTTGAGAGTCATCAGTATATATATGGTAATTAAACCCATGGGAGTTGAGGAGATCACCAGGTATAGAGAGAGAAGAGAAGAGGGCCCAGGATAGAACTCTGGGGACACCTATGGTCAGAAGATGTGATCTGGAGGTGGATCCAGCAAAGGAACCAGAGAAGGATCAGTCATCTGACTTAACCTACCTTACCTGTCTAAGCAAGACAACTAGGAAAGAGGGGCATCCTGAAAGCCTAGAAAGAAGAGAATATTGAGGAGGAGAGAATGATCAACAGTGTTAAAGGCTGCAGAGAGGGCAAGGAGAATGAGGATTGAGAAAAGGCCATTGGATTTGGCCACTAAGAGATCACTGGCAATTTTAGGGAGAGTAGTTTCAGTGGAGTGATCAGGTCAGAAGCCAGATTGTAAGGGGTTGAGAAGAGAGGGAGAGGAGAGAAAGGGGAGGCACCCACTGTAGATGGCCTTTTTGAGGAGTTTAGCTACAAAAGACAGAAGAGCTATGAGATGATAGCAGGGATGGACAGTTCAAGTGAGAATTTTTTTTCCTGATGAAGGAGCCGTGAGCATGTTTGTAGACAGAAGGGAATGAACGAGTAGAGAGGGAGAGATTGAAAATAAAAGAAAGTGGGGATGACAAAGGGCCAGTCTTTTGGAGATGGGGTGAAATGGGATCACTAGACAGACAGAGAGGTCAGCTTTGGTAAGGGGTCAGGCCACGTCATCGTGTGAAACAGGGACGAAGGAGGAAATAGCAGTAGAAAGCCTCATCTCTATGGGAGATGAGGAAGAGGGAAGAAGAGGGAGCTCGTGGCAAATGGCCTGAACTCTTTCCTGCAAAATATAAGGTAAGTTTCTCAGCTGAGGGAGTGGGAGGAGGAAGAGCCATGGAAGGTTTGAGGAGGGCTGAAAAGGTTTGGAAGAGCCATTGTGGAGAGTAAGCTAGCGAGTTAATAAGGGAGGTATAGCAGGATTGCTTGGCAACAGTGAGAGCCCGGTTGAGATTATTTACATCCCTTGGACAGCAAGGTGATCCAATCAGTCAAGAAATTAATTCAGACTATTCATTGGAAGGTCAAATACTGAAGCTGAAGCTTAAATACTTTGGCCACATAATGAGAAGACAGGACTCATTGGAAAAGACCTTATGTTGGGAAAGATGGAAGGCAAAAAGAGAAGGGGATGGCAGGGAATGAAATGGATAGATAAGGTCACCAAAGCAATGAATATGAGCTTGGGAAAACTTTGGGAGGCAGTGGAGAATAGAAGAGCCTGGCATGCTATCGTCCGTGGGGTCACAAAAAGTTGGACGTGACTGAACAGCTGAATCACAACAATAAACACAAATTTGTGGAGGACCCTGTCAGAATGAATGCATGATTTTCTCCACCTTTGTTCAGCAGCCTATGTGAAGGTGATGCATGGTGGGAGTAATTGAAGGCTGAAGCTTGACTAAGCATAATCATGAATATGATAAGAGGCTCAGGATTCCAGAAAGAAGGACAGTGTTGGATTGGCTCACCAAGAAGTCAAGATGGGGAAAAGAGGAGAGGGGCTAGTGAAGAGGACATGGCCTAGAAGAGAACTGAGGGGTCGAGGAATTGGAGGGTATAACCAGGTGTGAAAATGTTCACCATCGAGTGGAGGACACCACTCCTCTCACTCACTGTCACACCACAGAAGATGGGAGGCCTGAAGTCAAAGAGAGGATTGCTTTTCTCTGCAACAAAAGTTCTGTACATCCCAGTTGGGAGATTGAGTTGGCAGCAGGAAGTAGAAGTTACTTTGTGGAGAGGATTCTGGGAAGATGGCAAAGTAGGTTGGAAAATTCCAAGCTCTCCAGATCTCCCCCACAAACAAGGTGAAATAGAGCCTCAGGGCAAACATAGAGCAACTGGCTGGAGGCACTCACAGGAGAGCAGAGCTCTTGGTTTCAGTTCCAGGACAGAGGGAAGAACTGAAGGAGGATCTGAGACCATAGGTACCATCCCCCATCCCTCCAGGACTACAGGTGAGTACAAAAAATAAACTGCTACCAATAAAAAAAAATGAGCAGGCAAAGGAGAAAGAATCTAATCATCCAAAGTTACTATGGGAATGGAGAAGGCCAGGGTTCATCTTCAGAGGAGGACCCTGAAGCAAAAAGAGCCTTTCCTACCCCAAAGAGTAACATCAAATGGTCATCTGTCCAAAAAGAACTTACAGATAAACTTAAAAAAGACTTTAAAAATTAAATGAGGGAAATTGAGGGAAATTTTTAAAAATATATGAGCAATCCAAGAAAAATAAGTAGATTGTGAAAATAAAGTCAACCAATTAGAAAAAGAGATCCAGAATCTTTTTTTAAAATTTATTTTGTTAATTTATTTTGATTTATCAACAATCACTTCCACATGCTTTTGAGTTTAAAATTTTTCTCCCCCTTCCTCCCCACCACCCTCCCCAAGATGGTGCACAACCTTATATAGGCTATACATTTACATTCCTATTAAACATATTTTCACATTAGTGAAGTTGTAAGTAAAAATTAAAACCAATGGGAGGAACCATCAGAAAGAGGAAACAAAACTCAACAGAAGAGAAAAAGAAAAAAAAAGATAGCAATTCAACTTCCATAGTTCTTTCTTTGGATGTGGACAGCATTTTCCATCCCGAGGCCTCTGGAAATGTCTGGGGAGGGTTAAGCTTATCAATATTAGTCATCGCACAACGTGCCTGTTATTGTGTACAAAGTTCTCCTGGTCCTGCTCACTTCACTCAGCAAGCGATCCAGAATCTTAAGGAAGAAAATGACTCCTTGAAAATTAGAATTGGGGAGTGTGCTTCTGGGAGCCAAGATGGCGGAGTGAAAAGGTAGTCGCTCTCACCCTCCCCCATCAACCTCTGAAAACCCAGAAAATATCACCCTAGTGAAAAAAGACCCTGGAACAGCTGAACTAGAAGAAAGATGGGGAACAGCAGTGCAGCAGCCCAGCAAACGGGTCTCCCAGTGCCTCAGCAAAAATAAGGGAAGCAGCCCTACGAAGGGCCCCAGGTAGATAAGCGCCCTGCAGCATTCATCTGAAAGGAGCTGAAGAAAGCAACCTAGAGTCTTCCTAAAGTCCCAGCCTTGCTGATTCCAGGCCAATACCAGGTAAGCTGTCAGAATCCTACAGCCTCCAACTGTCAACCAGGAGGAGATCCTGAAGCCCAGGTGGTAGAACAGGCAAACACCAACACCTGGACCTCTGAGTGCCTCAGTGAGGGCAGGGAACCAGTGGAAACCAGCTGAGAAAACCACCAGCTGCCTCAGCACTCTACCGCAAAGGAATCTCCCAGTGCATTAGCAGAAAGAAGGGAGGCAGCACTGCAAGGGGCCCTAGGCAGATAAACACCCTGCAGCACCCATCTAAAAGGAGCTGAAGAAAGCTAAAGGAAAGGAAAAGCAGGCAACCTAGAATTGCCTGAAAGTTCCAGCCTTGCTGATTCCAGCCCAACATGAGGTAAGCTGCCAAAACCCTACAGCCTCCAATTGCCAACATAAGAGGCCCCAGCACACAAAGCCAGTGACCAAGACCTAGGCTCCCAACACAAGAAGCTTGGGTCAGTGCCCTCTGTTCCCCAGCAGGAGAGCTCAATCTCTTTAAAGGCCAGGAATAAAGAAACACCATGAGTAAAAAGAAACGTACCATAGATTCATATTATGAGAAGAGTGAAGATCAAGACAGAAATTCTGAAGAGGACAACATTGTCAACAAACCCACATCTGCAACGTCAAAAGGGAATATGAACTGGTCTGAAGCCCAAAAAGCCTTCTTAGAAGAGCTCAAGAAGGATTTTAGAAGTCTAATGAGAGAGGTAGAAGAGTCCTTAAAAAAGACAATTGGCCAATTGGAAAAAAAGTACACTGAAGAAAACAAGTCCCTAAAAAACACAATTGGCCAATTGAAGAAGGAAGTACAAAAACTAACAGAAGAAAACAATCTGTTAAAAACTAGAATTGGACAAATGGAAACTAATGACTATGAGAGAGCAAGAATCAGTCAAACAGAAACAAAAAAATGAAAAATAGATGAAAACTTAGAATACCTCGTTGGTAAAACACACAAGACCTAGCAACAGTGACACTAAAAGACCGCAGGTCTTGGGACATGATATATCAAAAAGCAAGAGAACTGAGGTTCCAGCCGAAAATATCACACCCAGCAAAGTTAAAGATAATCTTGAATGAAAAAAAAATATGGAAGATTTGACAAATAAGATCGAAGAGAAATATAAGGTACATATCAAAGACTAATTACAAGGAGCTCCATAAGAATGGACTGTTTACCTTTTATATGAAGAAACATAAAACGTATGTCTGAGATTGTTATTAGTAATTGAGTAGTTCATTAGAAAGATTGGGGTAGACCTGAGTATAATATTATTTTAAAAAGTAAAACCATTTAGGAACAAGTAAAAAGAGTAATCATTCTATACAAATGAGGTGCGAGAGGAAGAACTGACACAGGAATTAGATGAGGGAGGAGGGCTGGTAGTTCAGGAACCCTACTTTCATTGGGAATTGGTTTAAGAAGGAACAATACATATATATCTAGAGGGCATAAAAGTCTTCTAAATTCAGAAAGAAATAAAAGGGTCAGGAGATATGGAGGGGGGAGAGGATAAGGGAGGGATTTTTAGAGGGGTGGGTGAGGGAATAGGATATGGGGGAGTAATAAAAGGGTATTTAGATTAATGGGAATGGAAAGATAAGGGAGGAATTCTTGGGGGGGTAGGTTAAGTAATAGGAGGGCAAAGTATCAGGTAGAAGTAAAGTAGAGGAGTCAGGAGGGATATGAAATAAGAGATATCCACAAACAAGGGGCAGCTAGGTGGCACAGTAGATACAGCACCGGCCCTGAAGTCAGGAGGACCTGAGTTCAAATCCAGCCTCAGACCAAACACTTGACACTAGCTATGTGACCCTGTGCAACTCACTTAACCCCAATTGCTTAAGTCACTTAACCCTAATTGCCTAGAAATTAAAAAAAAAACTTAAAGGAGATATGCACAAACATAAAATAAAGATCAGCAGCAGAATTTATTAGGGGAAAAAAAAAGCAGGGTAGTAAACATGATCTCAGACAAAGTAAAAGCTGAAATAGATTTAATCATAAGAGAAAAATAGGGAAACTATGCTAAATGTCAGCCATATTCATCAATATTGTTTTAGACTATTTAAAATAAGTAGATAGTCTAAGGTTGGAATATTGTAGGAAATGACAAGTTGGTGGGCTTAGAAAAATATGGAAAGACTTGGACTTATGAAGGAAAAGGTTATCCACCCTCAGAGAGATAAAGGATAAATAAGTGTAGTACAGTCTTACATAGGTGCATATGAATGCATAAGTCTCTGTATGAGTATGATTGTAGATATCTAAGTATATGTATGTGTATGTAAGTACATCTAAGTATGTGTAAGTACATATATGTATGTGTATATGAATGTATCTTTGTGTGCATATATGTATGTTTGCATGTGCGTATGTACATATATGTGTATATGTATGTGCACATATTGCATTGTGTGTGTGTAGATATGTGTGTATATCTAGATCTATATAATCTACACTTAATTGTACCTTCTTGGAGGAGGGGGACTAGGAAGGAGGAAAAAAGAACAAAGTGAAAAGTGCACAGCAGAGAAAAGAAAACTTACAAGGAAGCAAAGAAAAGATGGACAGTTCTGAACACAATGCACAGTATTTATCGTATAGGCTTTCTTGAAATGGAAATTTATTGCCATATATTTTGAATCCTCTCTTACGTTCTGCTGTGCACATGACAGTACTTTCTTATTTTGTATTTAAGTTTTAATATATAAGTTATAAGGTTTCTTTTTCTTTTCTTTTGTATTTAAGTTTATAATGTTTTTTTCTTTTCTTATTTTGTATTTAAGTTTTAATATTTAAGTTTATAATATTTTTTCTTCTCTTATTGTGTATTTAAGTTTAAAATAAATTAATTTAAAAAATAAAAAGAAGTGACTTTGTACAGACACTTTGTCCTGGCCCTCTACAGCCTTCCCTCAGGAGAAGGCTCTGTCCAGCAGCGGATGGGAGGCACAAGACATTTACATGATGTGAGATCTTCTCATCTGAGGAGGCCACAGCAAGATATGATAGACACCTTGTTCATGGGTAAGTCCTTTTGGGCAGAAGTACTGAGGAAGCACCCATCTGCTGGGGAATGGCTAAACGAGCTATGGTAGATAAACATAATGGAATGAGAAACCTGGGAAGACTTGTATGGACAGATGCAGAGTGAAGTAAACAGAAAAACAATTTGTACTATAATAACAACACAATAAAAATCCCTCTTTTACTGGAACCCTTTCCTAACCCCTCTTCATGCTGGTGCCTTTTTTCTGTTATTTCTTACTTATCCTGTCTATAGCTTACTTTGTATATATTTGTTTGCACGTTATTTTCCGTACTGGATTTGTAAATGCCTTGAGGGCAGGGACTGTCTTTTGCCTCTTTTTATATCCCCATGGTTTAGCACATTACCTGACACATAGTGGGTGCTTAGTAAATATTTATTTTTCAAAGAGTTAGTAGTTCTGATTAACGTCCTGACCAACCATGATTCCCGTGGACTGATGAGGAAGCTTGCTCCCCACTTCTTGACCAAGAGGGAATGGACTGAAGATGCAAATTGAGACCCACTTGGTTGGATGAGGCCAATATGGGGTATTCATTTCGCTTGACTGGCGTTTTTTTTTTACAAGAGTTTTCTTTTTCTTTTTTTTTTTTTCCCAGTGGTGAGGGATATTAATTGATAATTAAAGAAAATAAAATTTTATTTTTAAAAATGGTCTAAGGTCTCCAGACAAAGTGCCCTCCCTTCAGTCTGGGAAAAGCAGGCCTCCCTTTGGAAATCTCTAAGCTTCTCTGAGTCTCTCTCTTCCATCTATACCCTGGCATGTTTCTTCCTGGGCAATGTGATAGGAAGCAAGTCAAGAAGAGAAGGTTCTAGGGTGGGGTGAGGAGGGCTGCAGCTTCGGGTAACAGTGAACCTTCAGAATCATAGAGGTCTAGAGGTAGAAGGGATCTCAGAGGCCGTGGATACCAGCATTTTACATATGAAGAAACTGAGTCCCAGGAAGGCTACATGACTTAGCATCATAGACCTAAGCTGGAAAGGGTCGCAGAGGCCACTTACTTCTACCACATCATTTGACAGTTAAAGAATCCTGAACGCAAAGACCTTTAAGTGACTTGCCCAGTGTCCCACAACCAGTAAGTGTTGGAGGCGAGATTGGAAGCCAGATCCTCTGACTAGAGCTAAAGCCACCATGTTTCTTTCAGGTGGCTCAGGTTTTTTTTTCCCCTTAATAATAAATTTATTTATTTATTTTTAGTTTTCAACATTAACTTCCATAAGATTTTGAGTTCCAAATTTTCTCAATCTCTCCCCTCCCCAAGACGGCACGCTATTTAATATAGGCTCAACATATATATTCAAATTAAACCTATTTTCACATTAGTCATGTTGTAAAGAAGAATTACAACCAAGGGGAGAAACCACAAGGAAGAAGAAAAAAAGAGAGGGAGCAGATAATATGCTTCGATATGCATTCAGACTCCATAGTTCTTTTTCTGGATGTGGATGGCATTTTCCGTCATGAGTCTTTTGGAATTGTCTTATTTTCGCTAAGAAGGAATAAGTCTATCAGAGTCAGTCATCACACAATGTGGCTATTACTGTGTACAACGTTCTCCTGGTTCTGCTCACTTCACTCAGCATCAATCCATATAAGTCTTTCTAGGTTTTTCTGAAGTCTGCCTGCTCATCATTTCTTTTCTTTTTTTATGGCGAGGCAATCAGGGTTAAATGACTTGCCCAGGGTCACACAGCGAGTGAGTATTATGTGTCTGAGGTTGGATTTGAGCTCAAGTCCTCTGACTCCAGTGCTGGTGCTCCATCCACTGCGTCACCTCGCTGCCCTTTGCTTATCATTTCTTAAGGAACAATAGTATTCCATTACATTCATGTACCACAACTTGTTCAGCCATTCCCCAATTGATGGGCATCCTCTCAGTTTCCAATTCTTTGCCACCACAAAAAGAGCTGCTATGAATATTTTTGTACATGTGGGTCCTTTTCCCATTTGTATGATCTCTTTGGGTTGCAGCCTCTACCTTTAAGAAGTTTCCATTCTTAAATTGAGAGAATGCCCATCCATTGGGGAATGGCTGAGCAAGTTGTGGTATATGAATGTAATGGAATACTATTGTGCTATAAGAAATGATGAGCAGGCTGACTTCAGAAAAACCTGGGAAGACTTATGTGGTCTGATGCTGAGTGAAGTGAGCAGAACCAAGAGGACTTTGAACACAATAACAGCCACATTATGTGATGACTAATATTGCTAAACTGAACTCTTCTCAGCATTACAAGCATCTAAGACATCTCCAGAGGCCTCGGGATGGAAAATGCTGTCCACATCCAAAGAAAGAACTATGGAAGTCAAATCGGTATCAGTTATTTTTACCTTCTGTTGAGTTTTGTTTCATCTTTCTGATGGTTCCTCCTATTGGTTTTAATTTTTACTTTAAACTTCACTAATGTGAAAATATGTTTAATAGGAATGTAAATGTAAAGCTTATATCAGATTGTGCGCCGTCTTGGGGAGGGGGAGGGGGAGGAAGGGGGAGAAAAATTTTAAACTGAAAAGCATATGGAATGATTGTTGATAAATCAAAATAAATTAATAAAATTTTTAAAAAAAGGAAAAAAGGAAAAAAAGGAAGTTTCCATTCTTGGCGTGTGGTAGAGAGAATGGGGGGGCCTAGAACACATACCCAGGGACAGACATCAAAAATAATTAGAGGAGGGAGGGAGGGAAACAGCATTAAAAACACCCAGGTTTCCTATAGGAGGTGGCCCCTGAACAGGGAGGGTGAAGGACCCAGCTTTGGACCCTCTGTCAGAAAAAACCATCCCAGGAATTGAAAGGAAACAGAACAAAGCCAGGACAAGCAACCTGGAAGGAAGTGACGAGAAGAAATGGTAACCACCAGGCCCTGCCCACTTGGGTATGTAGTGTGAGAGTTTCAGTTTCAATTCAGGTTTTGCTGCTCAGCCCTCTGGGTCAGCGGGCGGCTTTTGTGAAACCCTACTTTCGACCTGGTCCTGGCTTTCTTTTACCCACCAAGTTCAGGCTTAGACTCCTTTTGGGCACCCCCATCCTCACCCCTAGTTCTCTCCCTCTGCTCCCTTTAATTATCATTGATCTCTCTAGCCCTGGGCTACCTGCTCTCTGGTTTTGTCCAGAAACCCTGAGGGTCTTCCCCTACCAGATCTATTTTTAAAATTTTAATTAATTAATTTAATTTTTTGATATTGGGGTTAAGTGACTTGCCCAGAGTCACACAGCTAATGTTATGTGTCTGAGGCTGAATTTGAACTCAGGTCCTCCTAACTCCAGGGCTGGTGCTCTATCCACTGAACTGCCTAGCTACACGCCCCCCCCCTTTTTTTTAAAGAGGCCGTTCTCTGCCTATTTTCTAGCTGAGCCTTAATCACTGAGTGGGCGCTGTCTCAGTCAAATTGAGACCTGTTAAAGACCTTTGCCCTCATGTAGCTTACATTCTACTGGGGGACACAGACAGGTATGTGGACAGTGATCAATACTGAATGTCCTTTATAGAGCCCTTTCAAGTTTACAAAGCACTTTAGGCATATTGTCTTGTTTGAACCTCAAAGCAAGCCTGTGAGGGGATGAGTAGGATCATTGCTGCTGGGTACCTGCCCTTCTCCATTCTAAAGTCCCTTCCTGCTCTGACATCCCAAGTTCTAAATTCCTTCCAGGCTCTAACATTCCATGACTGTGTAAACTATGCCGCTGAACATTTGAACAATTACAGCAGGGGCATCCAGTATGGGGGTGGCAATGACGGGGTGCTCGGGTGCTTATGTTTGGCTGCTTGTACTTGGACCCCAATTTCTCCCTAGCCTCAGTAACACTGTCCCTGACAGTTTCTCCCCAGCCCAAGGACACTGTGCCTAGCAGTTATTCATGCATGGGCCTCAGCACGACCCTTATCTGGCTGCTCAGCCCCAGCCCTCAGATCATGTCTCTGGAAGCCTCCCAATTCTTTAGTTGTGAGAAAGCTTTCCTTTGCTGCAGAGCATTCTCTCATCAAGACAGATGGAGAGGGGTGTCCTTGACCTGCCCAAGGACTCTTCCTCCTGCCAGACTTCAAAGATCCATCCCCCTCCCTGTCCGGTATACTCCCTGTACTTTCCCATCCATATCCCCCAAAGACACCTGCACCTTTGGATTACCTCATCAGTGTTCCTGGCATTTCTTTCCCGGGCTCTTTTCCATATAAACCCTAGCTGCATTCTCAGTCTCTTGCAGAATCCTTTAAGAATCCTTGCCCACTGAAAAGCGTAACAATAAGCTTTGCCATCGTGGATTAAAGAATGCTTGGGTCTGTGAATTCATTCCAGACTACCCGTCCTGTACGCCGGTCTTTGAGGGGTCACAATCTCTCAAGCTCTCAGCCCGCAACAGCAGTTCCTCTTTAGTCTGCTAAAAATAAGCCTTTAAAATATTCTGGTTTCATTTTTGCTTTTCAATACCCTAGAACAGAAGCTTCCCTCAGAGACTTCGGTCCATTCCATCCTGCTGGTTGGCTGAATAGACCCTGGAGAGGTAAGAATATTTGTGCAAGATTGAGGATTCTTTTGTACTGGTGCCCAGGAGCTCAGACCCCAAGTCCTGGGAGGATGACAAAGTCAGTCTTCATGGGCTGAGGGCAAAAACAGAGCCACCCATGCAAGAAGGTGGGCAGCTGGTGAAGGAGTGTGGGGCTGCTCTGAGGAGCTTCCTTAAGGCCAAGGGAAGGATGCCCTCAGCTACAGGAGCTCTGGGGGTGTGTGTGTGTGTGTGTGTGTGTGTGTGTGTGTGTATGTTGGGGTATTTCTAAAGCCCCCAGCTTCTCTGTTGTTAACAGGGGCTGCAAGGTTATAGAAGCTGAGAGTTGGTTAACCTGGGTGAGGGGCCAGTCTGAGCAGACAACCTATGCTTTCTGCCCTATATCTTTGCTAAGGAAAACTCTCCTTGTTCTCAGAAACTTCTTTTTTTTTTTATTTTAGAGAGTGGAGAGAAAGAGGAGGTATACTAATGCAGACATTTTCAGCCGTGCAGGGTCCAGCCTCTGGTGCTCCCTGCATGACCTTAAGCAAATCCCTTAACCTTCCCAAGCCTCAGTTTCCTTTACTGTAAAAAGAAAGGATTGGAATAGACGGTTCTTGAAGGGCCTTCCAGGATTTTATCTGTAAATCACTGCCCTCTTCTGGGGCTCACTTTCCTCCTCTGTGAAATGAGTCCATGAGATGAGTAGCCTTCGAGGTCTCTTCCTGCTCTGGCTCTAGAAGCCTCTACCTGGGGATTTATCCAGGAGCCCGTGGTCTTCCTTTGCTCTCCCAGACTATGGATCATCCCAAAGTGTAATTCTGGGCCTCGGTCCACTTGTTTGCCCTGACAAGTTCGACTGCCATGGCGTGCACCCCTGGAAGGCTGGGGTTAGTTCCAGCCAGTGTTAAGCTTCAAGGGCGTTTCTTATCGTCCCTGACGAACCTTTGGTGCCTGGATTTTTCATCATTCTGTGACAGGAATCCTATAACTAATCCTATTAATTAATTTTTACAAACATTTATTATCTCTCCCTTCCCAATCTTTCTCCTGCAAACAATTAAAAAAAAAACTACAGAAAGAAAACCCTGATGACAAAGACATAGAGACCAGCGAAATGCGTTTCCGCACTGGCCGTCTCCCAAAACTGCACGATTCCTTTTGGATTTTAAGTCCATCAGCTTCCTGGTAGAAGGTGGCTGTGTCTCTTCTCTGGACTATTACCGCCGCAAGCCCAGGGCACCAAAGATAAGAGGCGGAGAGGCCTTGTCCTAGGGTCTTGATTGTATAACTGTAGAAGGGGGGGGCATACAAGGGGAGGTAAAAATGACATTTGTTTCTTGGAGCTTCTCAGGGCAATTGAGGGAAAAAAAATCTGAATTTGGAGTCAAGAGGCCTGGGTTTAAATTCTGTCTCTGCCATTTACCATCTGTGTGTCACCCTGGGAAGGTCACCTCCCCTCCTGAACCTCAGTTTCCTCATCTGTCAAATGGAGATAATAAGATGATACTACCAGAGTTGCTGTTAGTAATCTCCAAGGACTCTGCAAACAGGAGACGGAAAATACGTGTGTTTTTAAAAAGGGCATCATTGCTTTAGAGCTGGAGGGACCTTAGAGGCCATTCAGACCAACCCCCTTTATTTTACAGATGAGGCAACTGAGGCACACAGTGAAGAACTGGCTTGCCCAAGATCACACAGATGGCTAGTACCTGAGGGAGGATTTGAACTCTTGTCTTCTTGACTTTAGGTCAAGTGCCCCATCTAGTCAACCACCTAGTTTCTTGACTCTGTGGATCCTCCATGGAGTGGGATCACCTCATGTGGAGAAAGGCTTGCTTTGGTTTGAGGCTGGGTTCAAGTGACAGTCACAAAGACACCCCCCATGGAGTGATGTCTCCTTGCTTTATGTGAACCCTACCCATGGCCTGGGTCAGCTGCTGAAAGGGACCTTAAAGTCCTTCTGGTCCGGCTCCTCCTCTACAGGAGAGAACTCTGAGACCCAGAGAGAGACCTTTCCAATGTCACATAGGTGGTGAGCATCTTGGGCAGAATTTGAACCCAGGGCCTCTGCCTTGAGAGTCAGTGGGTGAGTTCTCACTGTGTCATGATGACTCAAGTTATTTTTTGCACATAAACATTTTTAATTAATTGCTACTTTACATACCAGGGAGCAGGAGTCAGAGATAAAAACGGTAAGTAGGCCCTTCCCCCTGCAGTTCAATGGGGGAGGGAAACTGTGGGTTGAGGCTGGTTTATGAAGGACTTGAGAAGGGAGGTGCCAGATGCAATGTGAGACAGCAGGAATCAGGGCCCAGGTTGTCACAGGGCGGGTGGAGAAACCAGGAGTTGATTGGAGCAGGCAGGGATGTCCTCAGTACAAACACCAAGCATGTTTACTGAATAAGCTAAATTAGCTTTCCGAGGAGAAGACCTGGGTTCAGGTCTGACCTTTGACAGTGGCTGTTTGCCCTTGGCCATGTCATTTATCTCTCTGAGCCCCAGATGACGCTCCAAGACAGTTTCAGATCAGCTCTGCTTTAGTGAGGGAGTTTCTTTACCCCTGTGAAATCACAGACAGGACCAAAAACATTGAACTTGAGCATGATCTGAAAAGCAGACGGCGAAGAGGGTGTGTCCTGAGGTCTGAGCTGTCTCTCTACCACAGTCATAGGGAAAGGAAGCCAGCAGCCGAGGCCACTGGGCCTGAGAAGGGCAGGAGTCTCTTCGCCACTCTTTATTGTTACTATTATTATTATTATTATTATTATTATTATTATTATTATTATTATTATTATTATTATCTTGGTGAGGTAATCAGGGTTAAGTGACTTGCCCAGGGTCTCACAGCTGCTAAGTGTCAAGTGTCTGAGGCTGGATTTGAACTCAGGTCCTCCTGACTCCAAGGCTAGACCTCTATCTACTGGGCCACCTACCTGCCCCCCTTCACCACTCTTAAAGGGTCGGTAGATAGCAGAGAAGAGCAGAAAGAGCCCTAGCTCTGGGCTGGTGTTTCTTCAATTGACCCTTATACAATGGCCACAGTGGAGAGTTTGTTAAGAAGATAGGGAACAAGAGAGCCAGGTGAGAGCCGTTCAGGAAAGAGCTGTGTGGTAAACTTGTCTGTTTGCCTCTTATCTGGGGCACTTAATTTCTACTCAGTGTCTCCTCTGGGTAGCATCAGAATACAGCTTTTATTTAGGTATCTGTAGTGGTGAGTAAAACGGGACCTCAGCTGCTATGCAAGCACTCAGGCTAACAATGTATATCAGATCAGTTAGATAACCTTTATTTCACCCAACCCATTGACTCATAGTACCGCATAATTGAAACTGCCCTGGAAAGGGAACACCCTTGAGGCTGAGAGGAAGAAAACCTTTGGTTCTACAGAGATCCCCATTCCCCTTCCCCTTGGGGATCTTACACAATCCTCTAGACTTATAGTGCTATCCTCAAGCCTGGAGCTCCCTGAAAGAAAATCGTACCCTTGGGGTTACTAGTGTCAACCACCACCCTCCCCCTGCAGTCAAACATTTTCAATATATTCAAAAATTTTTTACACAATGTTTTTCTTACACTTTGTTTTCCTTCTTCCTGGCCAGAAATGGGTGACTGAGAAGCCCTGCGCCTCAAAAAGCAGAGAGGAATTGCTATATGATGGCTAGGCTTTGGAGAGATTTGTGACTAAGGATGTTTTGGAGAGGTAACCCCATGGCTCATGACCCAGAACCAGAGGGAAAAAATAGGTTGGAGAAGTGGAGGGGAGTTCAAACCAGCCTCAGACACTTGATACTTACTAGCTACGTGACCCTGGGCAAGTCACTTAACCCCAATTGCTCACCCCACAAAAAAAAAGAAGTGGAGGGGACCTTTGAGGTCATCTCGTCCAAGCTCCTCATTTTACAGATCTTTCCATTCCCACCACCATCTCCTGTGCCATTCACATGGCGGGCACTTTACAAATATTTGTGTGGCTTTTTTTCCCTTTTGTTTTGGTTTGAAAACATTTAAATTCATTTTTTCCCAGGTTCCAGCTACACAGAGAACTTTACTGAGGTTACCAGGACAATTATAAGTAGAAAATACACATTCAGTCTCATCCTTTTTCTTTTAAAAAAAAGTTTTATTAAAGTTTTTCTGGCTATATATCTGGTACAGATAAGTAGATAAGGCAAGAATATAAATAGATACATAGACAAGTAGATAGATAAGTAAATAGATATGGAGATAAGAAGATAGATATGTATATAGATAAGTAGATCCATTCATAATCAATAAACATTTATTAAGGTCCTACTATGTGCTAGACACTCTGCTAAAGGCTGAGGATACAGAAAGAGGCAGATAGTCCCTGCCCTCAAGGAGCTCCCAATTTAATGGGGAAGACAACAGGTAATTAAACATGTACAAAGAAGCTACATATAGGATAAATAGGAAATCAGGAAAAGAGGGAGGTCATTAGAAGGAAGAGAGGTTGGGAATGACTTCTTTAGAAGATGAGATTTGTCCTGGGACTTGAAGCCAAGGAAGCCAGTAGGCACAGATGAGGAGGAAGAACATGCCAAGTATGGGGGACAGCTGGAGAAAATTCCATCCACCAAGAGATGGAGTATCTTTTTTTTGTGGTATAGCCAGGGGTCCAGTGTCACTGGACTGAAGAGTGACGTGGAAGGGGGTAAAGTGTAAGAAGACTGGAAAAATAGGAAGGGACTAGGTTAGGAAGAGTATGGAATGTCAAACATAAATATAGGTAGATAGGTAGATAGGTGGATAGATGGACAGATGGATCAATGGATGGACAGATGGGTAGGCAGATAAATACATAAATTGATCTATAGATAAGTAGACTCATAGATATGTAAACAGATAAGTAAATAGACTCGATAGAGAAATAGATAGCTAGATACATAGATAAGTACACAGATAAATAGATACATGGATAAGTTGGTAGATAAGTAGATAAATAGATAAGAAGAAAAGAAAGAAAGAAAGAAGGAAAGAAAGAAAGAAAGATGGATGGATAGATAGATAAATAGACAGATAGACATAGATACAATATTTATTAAGCACTTGCTATGTAGACAGGTAGGTGGTGCAGTGGATAGAATGTGGGGCCTGGAGGCAGGAGGACTCATCTTCCTGAGTTCAAATCCAGCTTCACCCCCTTACTAACTGTGTGACTCTGAGCAAGTCATTTCACCCTGTTTGCCTCAGTTTCCTCATTTGTAGAATGAGCTGGAGAAGGAAATGGCAAACTACTCCAGTACCTTGCCACGAAAACCCCAAATTGGGTCATGAGGAGTTGGACACAACTGAACCGACTGGACAACAACATGAACATATGAGGCATTGTGCTAAGCAATATGGATACAACGATCTAAGACAACCCCAAAGGACTCATGGTGAAAAACACCATCCGCCTCTGGAGAAAAAGCCAATGTTGTCTGAATACAGACCGAAGCATACTTATAGTCTCTCTCTGTCTGAGTTTTCTTCCACAAAATGCTAATTTGGAAGCGTTTTACATGACTGCACATGTATAACCCATATCAAATTGCTTACCATCTCTGGAAGCAGGAAGGAGAGGGAGGGATAGAATTTGGAACTCAAAACTTAAAAAAGAAATTGAATATTAGAAGTCATTTTTACATGTAATTGTGGGAAGTTATTGTGGGAAATTGTAGGAAATAAAATATTTTTAAAATCTACATTTCCTGATTAATTCCCTGTGAATAAATTAGTGAATGAAAAAGATTTGATTAGCACTTGCTATGTATCAACCATGTACTAAATACTAGGATTATATTATATATACTATATGGATGATATATTAGTTTGCTCTGGTCCTTCTGACTGTATTTTGTCAATTTCATTGATCTGGGGGAAAAATCTCAGGATTGTTTAAATGTGTATTTTTCTTCCTATTAGTGGTTTGGAGTCCTTTCTCAGATGGTTGATCATGTACTTTTCTTTAAGTTCTAATTTTCAAATTTTCTTTTTCAAAAAATTATGATGGTGAACATTTCTTCTTTTGCCAACTTGTTATTCCTATCCTTTGATCACTTACCTTTTGGGGAATGGTTCTTAAGTCTTAGATTTCTTGGATACTAGTTCCAAGTTCTTTCCATGGCACCGAGGGAGAACCATGGACATGTGGCCAAGACGATCAAGAAAGATGGGTGGTTGGCACTCAGGATCAAATGCTGCAGAGGTATAAAGGACAGAAGGACACACAAAAGAGTGCTTGGCAGTGCGAGGGTCATCAATGACCTCAACTGTTTCCATACAATTCTAGATTTGGAAACCAGATGCCAAAGGGTTGAAGAGTGAGTGGTTGGTGAGGAAGTGGAGGCAGTGAGTTGAGAGTATATACTCTTTCTAGGAGTTTGGCAGGGAAGGGTGAGAAAAGAACTTGGTCAACGTTAGCATGCTATAGAAAAGTTAATGTTGTTTCCCATCTCTAAAGCAACTTCATCATCTTTTGACTTCTGCTCTTCACAGGGGTGATACTGTTTGACTGTCTGATACCTGAACCTAGAGTGCAAAAGCATGGATTATCCTGAGGAAGATATGATGTACGAAAAAATGCAGCATGAAATGGAAATGTTTTTGACAGACTTTCCCATGACAAAACTGAAACTAGAACGGCATATCCAAGACCTTTACTGCATGGCAGACAAAATCGACAAGCTTCACAAGGATTGCACCATTGCCAGTGTCGTAGCTAGTTCCACTGGTGTCGCCTCTGGCATCTGACCACGATGGGGTGTGCTCTTGTACCTATCACGGCAAGATGGAGCTTGAGCCTCTCTATAACTGGGATGGGATTGGGAGCAGCAGCTACTGTCACAGGTATTTCTGCAAGTGTTATTGATAATGTGAGTGCCTCACGGGGGAGGACACATTTCGACGATGTTGAGGGAAGGACAGATGACATTAGGAGAGCTCTATCTAAAGAGGTAAATGGAATTCTTCATGCAGTGGGGAGGTTGAGGAAAACCTTCAAAAGTATTGCCCCAAACTTCTGTGCCTTCAGCCTGGTCAAAGCCAAACCAGGTTTGAGCAAGACTTTTCAGGGCACAGTACTGGCCATGACCAAAGGAGCCGGGATGAGGGGTGCTGTATTTGCAACAGTCTTTGTTCTAATGGACATAGCCACCATTGTGCAAGATTCAGTACATTTGTCAAAAGGGGCAAAGGCTCCAACAGTGGCAGAACTGAGGAAGAGAGCTCAGAATTTAGAAGAGAAACTGCAGGATCTTTCCAGGGTCTATGAGACCCTGCAGGAAATGGAGACTCTGCTGACAACCTAATAGCTGTGGGCCAGGGCAGTCTATGGACAATGGATGAGTGTGTCCCAGGAGGGAAATAAAGGGAACTTTACTTTAGCTTGAGTTTTTAGAAACAGTTGTCAGGGAGAAAACAGAAAAGAGAAAGATCACTGCTCTTTGAGGCCAGTTATCTGAAGTTAGTCCTGGCTCTGGATCATACTAGCTTTGGACTCCTTACAGTTCAATTATAGTAACTGTCTTATCTTATAGTCTGGGGAAGGGAGGGGGTGGGGCAGTGCAGATGAGAGAAGGGAATGACTTGCCCAAGATGACACAGTCACTTTATGAATATTTTAGTTATTTAGAATGAGGTTTCCCTTTTTATTATTGCTTCTTAGATTTTATTGTACACATTGTAGTTGATTTTTGAGGGTTTATTTTGTGATTTGCAACTTTGTGAAAGCTATTGTCTCAATAAGTATCTTTGCTGATTCTCTAGAATTTTCCAAGTATATTGTCATATCTTCAGCAAATCATGAAAGTTTTATGAAGTTTTACATGTATGTATATCTAGGTATACATATATGTGTATATGTATACATACATAATCTCACACACATATACATGTACACACAAATATACTTTCAGAAGTCTACCAAATAATTGTCAGGAAAGTGGGCATCTGGGCTTTACACCTTTATTTATAGGAAAAGATTCAAGTGCATCCCCATTACATATGATGCTAATGCTCTTGAATGCTTTTTGTGGTATTTTTTGGAAAATTCCTCAATGAGCGAAGTGAGCAGAACCAGGAGAATGTTGTACACAGTAACAGCCACATTGTGCGATGACTGACTTTGATAGACTTGGCTCTTCTCAGCAATGCAAGGATTTAAGACATCTCCAAAAGACTCACGATGGAAAATGCTATCCGCATCCAGAGAAAGAACTATGGAGTCTGAATGCAGATGGAAGCAGACTATTTGCTCACTCTCGCTCTCTTTTTTTGTTTGTTTGTTTCTTCTTTCTTGTGATTTCTCCCATTGGTTCTAACTCTTCTTTACCACATGAAAAATGTGAAAATATGTTTAATATGAATGTAGATGTAGAGCCTATATCAGATTGCATGCCATCTTAGGGAGGACAGGAGAGGGAAGGAGAGAAAATTTAGAACTCAAAATCTTATGGAAGTGAATGTTAAAAACTAAAAAGAAATAAATAAGTAATTTTTTTAGAAGTGCCTCTATACCTATACTTTGTAGGGCTTTTAGCATGAATAAGTGTTGCACTTTCTCTCAATGGATGCAGAAAAAGCCTTTGACAATCATGTGGTTTGGGATGTTTTGATTTTAATATAATTATTTAATATGGATTGTTTTTCAAATATTGAACCATCCTGGCATACCTGGTATAAATTCAACTTGGTCACAATGAATGATTGCTTGGATAAATCTCTGTAGTCTATTTGACAGAATTTTGTTTAAAATTTTGAATTAAAGGAGCAGCTAAATGGCTCAGTGGATAGAGCACTGGCCCTGGATTCGGGAGACCTGAATTCAAATCTGGCTTCAGACACTTGACCCTTCTAGCTGTGTGACTCTGAGCAAGTCACTTCACTCCATTGCCTCACCAACAAACAAATAAAAATTTTGAATTAAAGACAAATTTTGAATTAATATTAATGATATTGCCTGTCATTTTTCTTCTGATCTTTCTCTTTCCTTGGTTTAAGTATTAGGACTATATTTGTCTAATAAAATAAGTCTTTGTTTTAATAAAAATACAGAATTCTTTCTTTCTTAATTTTTGAGAATAATTTGTGTAGTAAAAATACAAATTTAAAAGTTTGATAGAATTCTTTTGTGAATACTTGATGACCAAGAGCTTTGTTCTTTGGAAGTTCCTTTATAGGTAGTTCTATTTCCTTTTAGGAAGTAGAGATCTTAAATAACCCAATCTCTTAATCTCCTATCTGGTCTTCTCACAGTTTGAGTGTTTTATATTTTTGAGCTCTTCTATTTCTTGTTTTAGAATATTACTGTATATAATAGGTTCTGTGTTTTTTTTTATTGCTTCTGATTTTACCTTGCTATTTGCTATTTCATTGATTTAATTTTCTGGCCCCTTCTTTTTAATAAGAAAAATCAACTTTAAAGGTTAATTAATTTTATTAGTCTTTTCAAAGAACCAGCTTTCAGTTTTACTTCTCATTTCTATGGATTTTTTATGTTTCCAGCTTATCTATTTCTACTCTAATATCTTCTCTTTCATGATTCTGGGTTTTTCTATTTGTTGCCTTTCTATTTCTTTTAATGCATATTCAGTTCATTAATCCTTTCTTTTTTCTATTTTGTTAATCTATGTTTATAGGGATATGATATTTCTCCCAAGGTCTGCTTTACTGTATCCCAGAAATTTTGGCATGTTCTTTCATCATTACCATTTTTCCATATCTTTTTTCTATGATTTATCCTTGAACTACACATTATTTAGGATTTCATTATTAAGTCTATTTGTGTTTATGTCTTTTGTCTGAAGTCCCTGAATCAATGACTATTTTTATTGCATTGTTCTTTAAAGGATGTATTTATCATTTCTACCTTTTCACATTTGTTTTCAATATCTCTTTTCCCTAATACATAGTTAGTTTTTGTAAAAGTTCCATGTGGTGCTGATAAATGCATAGATTCTTCTGCAGTCCCAATGTCATAAGTCTTTTAGCTCTAGCTAATTTTTCTCTAGCAATTTTTTTCAATGCCATATTTTCCCTTTTTTTATCTTTCTTATCCAAAACTGAGAGAGGGATATTGATGTCTCCTATCCTTACTGTGCTATTGTCTATGTTGTCCTCTAGCTTAGTTAATTTTTCCTTTATAAATTTGGATGCTAAAGCTTTTGGAGCATTTAAATTTATTACTGATATTGGCTTGCTGTCCATGGTTCTGATGGGGTGATGGGACCCGAACCCTGAAACTTCCCCACCCAACCCAGTACCTGGCATAACTTGAGGCATCAGGCCCAACCCAGTCTACCCAGATACTCAATAATCTTTTTAACTGTCCTTTCATTGTGCCCCTACCATTTAACTCCTTTCATTGTCTGTACCTGGCCCATCCCAGGCTACTTGCTACTCCTTAATCCCATCTAGATCTTCCCACAGTCTCTTTCTGCATAAAAGTACCAATCTTACCCCCATTAAATTACACAGATTCTTAGAGTCTCACAAACTTTTATTGGCATCACCATAAACTCACTACTCTGACTGAAAGAAGGCTTGAGTGGTAGAATTCTTTTGAGGCAGACCTGTCCCGTACCCTTGCATTTCAGTGTTCTTAGTGCCCCAAACTGCATCAGTTTCTAATGGAGTTTCCTTGTTTTTTCCTTTTTATTTTTGGATGTTTGTTTTTGCTTTGTCAGATACCGTGATTGCAGCTCCTTCTTTGGATTCATTCGATGTATAGTCGTTTTTCCCCATTCCCTCAATTTTATTCTGTGTATGTATTTGTTGCTTACAAGACACACATTTTAAAAACAGATTGCAAAATTTATCCAATCTATCACTTTTCATTTTATTGGCTTGTTTAATCCATTCACATTTAAAATTATACGAGTTAGTTTTATATTTTCCTCCATTTGTCTCTGGTACTATTTTTTTCAGGCTATGAACTCCCCCCACCATTGTAAACATAGTACTATGTCTCTTCAGTTACTATAGTTTAATCTGTTACCTCTTTCGCTTTGAGTTTTTGTTTCTTATTTCTTTTTTTTTCCCCTCTGCTTTTATCTGGGCATTTAATTCTTTCTTTCTTTATTTTCCTCAGTTTCATCTTCTTCCCTTCAACTAGTCCTGGTCATTAATTTTATTTTTATTTCATTTTTTGCTTCCCTTTCCATAGAGGTTTTCTTTCTTTCACTCTCTTCACTATCCAGTCTCTCTTCATGTCTAATCTAGACCCTCATTCTCTGGTTCATAGTCCCTATACTTACCTAGTTCTTTTCTACTCTCTGTATTCATTATGGTACTTCCAAGGTACCCCTTCTAGGCTCTCCCATCTAAGAAGTTTCTGCTGGTTCCTTGTAGAGCTCACCCCACCTCACCCCTTTTCCGCTGTGTCTCACTCTCAGAAAAAAATGCTAATTCCTGCAGGTTATAGAGAGAATGTTGTCCATAGCAGGACCTTCCCCCACACCAAATGACCCTGATTATGCAGCCCACCACTGACCTATACCTTCTTCCTGGTCACCTTCTTTTCCTATTTGTCTCAAATGTCCTCCCTGAGTCCATGCCCTCCCAGCTCCCCCAGGCTTCTATTGTCTCAGGAGCTCTGATTCCCCACTCCCCACTTCCTAAGACAGATAAGTAGTCTTTTAAAGCATCAAATTCTCATAGATAACATTCAGTTCAAGGTCTCTATCTCCCTTCACAGAACATCTCTTCATCCATAGGTGTACTCATCTGTGGCACTTCTTCCTAACACAAAAACAGGTGTCTCCCTTTCTCCTCCTTTTCAGTTCCTCTTCCCACCTCCTCAGTGATGGGGTTATGGGATGGAACCTAGACCCTTAAAAGGAAAAGACCTGAACTTTCCCACACAACCCAGTCCCTAAACCCAGTCCCTGGCATAGCCTGAGGCATCTGGTCATCCCAGTCTACCCAGATACTCAATAATCCTTTTAACTGTTCTTTCATTGTGGCCCTACAACTTAATTTTTTTCATTGTCTGCACCTGGCCCACCCCAGGCTACTTGCCACTCCTTAATCCCATCCAGATCTTCCCACAGTCTTTTTCTACATAAAAGTACCAGTCCCATCCTCATCAATTCGCAGATTTACTAGAACTCTTGTCTGCCTAACCAGTGTCATAATAAAACCTCATTACTCTGACTAAAAGAAGGCTTGAATGGTCAAATTCTTTTAAGGCAGACCTGTCCTGTACCCTTGCATTTCAGAGTTCCCAGCACCCCAAACTGCAACACTCACCACTCCCTTGCAGAGTCTTCTCTTTCTGAGAAAAAACAAGAGTCACTTTCCCCCCATTGCTGACGCTCAACTTGACCAGGGAACATAACACATTCCTCTCCATCCTCCTTCTCCCCTCCCTTCTTTGCATGCACCCTTCCATTTTGTAATTTCATCCCGCAAAAAACATTGATTTACCTGCCGGAGGGGTGCCATGACATTCATTTCATAATGCCCAATACCTGCCTCTTCAACGTCGCTTCCTCTCCACCATCGTAACCACCTGACTTCTGATCTCTTACTGGTCACTCTGCTGTCCCTCTATTGCTATTGCTGCCCTTGGCTATCACATTCATTCACTCTTCCTGTATTTCTATTGTTTGGAGTGTTTAAGAAATAACTCTTTAGGAGCAGCTAGGTGGCACAGTGGATAGAGCTCCGGCCCTGAAGTCAGGAGGACTTGAGTTCAAATCTGACCTCAGACCAAACACTTGACACTAGCTGTGTGACTCTGGGCAAGTCACTTAACCCCAATTGCCTAAAAAGAAATAACCTCTTTAGATCTGGTTTTCTTTCTAAGAATGCTTTGAATGCCTCTTTATTATTGAATGTCGATCTTTTTTTTCCTTTTGTGGTTAAGTCAGATTTGCTCACCTTGGGCTACATCTTGAGCTCCCTTGTTCTTTGGAACACAATTTTCCATTCCTTCATGCATTTTCTGCATTCTGCATTTCCTAGTAGGCACAGAATAATCAAATTTCTTTTCTTTTGTATTTGAAGAGTTTTTCCAGGTCACTTGCAGAAATTTGTTATTTCTCAATGGGATTGTTAAATTTAACCACTAAGTGTCTTGGAGTTTGCAGCCTTGGATTTTTCTTTTTCTAGAGGTAATCTTTTGTTTTTCAC